TGTTTATACCAACACATTTCCTCATATTGAAAACATAGAGCCGCTGTAGTGTGCCCTCAAGTGGCCACTAAACTGTTCTACACGCCTCAGTTTGTTAGCCCGTCCAAACAGATTTAACCAGGCCTAGTGGCTGCCAGCTCAGTAATGACAACACATTTAGATCTGGTGACGAGATTTTCAAAATCAAAAACTGAGACACCCCCAGTTTGTGGTGATTGGTAATAATTAAATTGTGAATCGAGTGAGTTATTGAGGAAAATTATTCTGCCTTCAGCCCATTCATGACTAACATGTTAATCAGTATAGTCACATTTTATTTGTGTTTTGGTCATTTTTAAGCAGCTTTTACCTGAACAAATGATAATGTATGCCTCTTTTTACTGTTGGCAAGGATCAAACTGGTCAAATATATGGACACTAGGAACATTTCTTACATAAACTAGGCCAACCTGTATGAGGCTTCTGTGATTTCTATGAGAATCCCTCTGCCTATGTCGACAACTTTCATCATTGCCACACAAAAATCTTCATGTGTGGAGCTCAGAACAGGAAGAGTCTGTAAATGTTAACCACATCTTTAGCAGTTTGTCCTAGTTTGCCTTTGATTCAGCTGAAACCTATGACGTTTTTCAGTTCCTTGTGTATTTTCTGATCTGTGTGTCATCACAAACAGACCTGGAGTTGTGTTTTGTTTCATTCACACATGTTTAACGCACAAACTCTGTTGTACATTCAGTTCTTCTCTCAAACTGAATCACTCTTCCACCTTGTGATTTCATCCATGAAGTGCTCCATTGTGTTTTTAAACTCCATGCACCTTCCTTAGAATCATTTGGAGGATTTCAGCCCTGGAATTGCCAGTCTTCACTGAACTAAAAGTAAAAGGAGCTGGTAACATCATGACATCATAAGGTGGAACAGAGCATTGCAGGTTTGGAGATGTAGGCCACGCAATTCCGGTTTATTTTTGATGACAACATTATAACATCACTATAGCTCATGAGAGTCAACTTTGTGTAATATGGGACCTTAAACTCGAAGCTTCCAACTTATATTATTATTTTTTCCTCCCATAAATTGTGTGTTTGTGACAAGAATCTGACTACTACACACTGAGTGCATGTACATGCACATCAGTATCGGTTATTAGCCATATCCCGGTTATGTCAGTATTCGGGTTACTGCGTTTACATGTGTGCTGAGAAACCGGGTTAATATACCAGTTTCTTGACATAATCTTACAAATGCACAACTGCAAAAATTAACTTTAATTTAATTTAATAAACCAGGAAAATTACAAACCATGAGCTCCTTTAGCAGAGGAAGCTTGGGAGGTTTAACCAGCGGTGAGGAGCTATGATGTATGCCGGGGTCAGCCTTATCATCAGAAGAGCCTCTAGTCAGAAGAGCCTCTAGTCAGAAAATCCATGTTCAGGTAGTGTTACAAATTGTTACAAATGAAATTGTATTTCAAGTTTTAAATATTTTAAAAAGTAAATATTAAAAGTAATAAATATATTAAACCCTTAAAATACAGCAAAAAATGTTTGAGGAAATAATGATTTGGGTGGAAATGTCTGTCTTAAGTGGAACAGGGTTAATAATTGTCTGATTTTCAGGCAACAACTTGCAAAATGTTCAGTAATTCGAGCTCTACAGCCTTCATTTCAATTTTATTTTAAATCTTTTTTTTTCTTTTAATATAGCATCGGTGGGTTTGTAAACCAACAAATGAAGTAATGCTGGCCTTAGCTAATGCTGTTATGCATGATTTGACAAATCTAAAAATGTTGATGTTGCAGCCATTTTAAATTGGTAAACATCCAAAAGTTTACTAATTCTTCCCTGATATCCAGGGATTATTCCCTGTTGCTTTCATCAAATATACATTCAGTTGTTCAAGAGAAATGTTGCTGACAAACCAATAGAAGAGGGAATGATTTTCTGACTAGTGGGCCTTCTGATGATAAGGGTGTAACCATGCAGGTCATACAAGTGCAGACTGTATGTGTGCAGATTTAGAGCAGCTCTTTATTTTACACTAATTTCACTCATGTATGGTCACTTTATTTATGTCGGTCACTTTATTTATGTCGGTCACTTTATTTATGTCGGTCACTTTATTTATGTTGGTCACTTTATTTATGCCACTACTGCACTCAACTTTATGTTGCAGTAACCGTGATACTGCGTATACATGCCACAGTATCCCGGTTACTATCAGAATATACCAGCTAGAGTATCCTGGTTTCTAATAACCGGGATACTGCCATAACCGAGATACTGAAACCACATACTACATGCACCACGAAGAAACCGGGATACTCAAAAAACCCGATCATATCTGGGTTATTGATGTGCATGTATACGCACTCACTGTCGTCAAAGAATTCTGACTGATACAGACATGGTGTGGATCTTTTGTCCATGTGCACATTTCACAGCTGTGTACTGAATCCTTGCTCTGACCTGAGGCCTGTTTACAGCACAGAAACCCAGTGACCTCAGGACGAGAGAGAACAGGATCTGAGGAAACACCAGCTCCTCTGCACCGAGCTGCACGGCCCCTGGACCAGCCTAAAGAATTATGATTAAAACTTAGAATCAACTAATGGGACTAAAGACTCAAAATTCACTTATAGAAACTAGAAACACAGCGCTTCATTTGATTATTGACCTTTTTTGCCTTTTCTGCTAGATATTTGTTCAGAATGATCAAACTAATGATTGGTGAATTACAGTGTTGGGGAGGTTACTTTTAAAATATATTCCTTTACAGATTACAGATTACATACCCCAAAATGTAGTTTGTAACATAATCCATTAAATTACTTAAAGTAAGTAACGTAATCTGAATAGTTTAGATTAATTGATTTGCTGTAGAGAAGCAAAGACGAGGAAATCTTCACATAAGATGTTCTATCTGCTAAAAGAAAAAAGCCCAGACTTTACAGAACTGTATTAAAAAATATTATTGATAGAAGGCGAGGAGGCACGGTACAAACAGCATGATTTAGACCTGGTTTTAGTCCTTGTGTAGTCCTGGTTTAGACCTGGTTTAGTCCTGGTTTAGACCTGGTTTAGTCCTGGTTTAGACCTGGTTTTAGTCCTGGTTTAGTCCTGGTTTTAGACCTGGTTTAGTCCTGATTTTAGTCCTGGTTTAGTCCTGATTTTGTCCTGATTTAGACCTGGTTTTAGTCCTTGTGTAGTCCTGGTTTAGACCTGGTTTAGTCCTGGTTTAGACCTGGTTTTAGTCCTGGTTTAGTCCTGGTTTTAGACCTGGTTTAGTCCTGATTTTAGTCCTGGTTTAGTCCTGATTTTGTCCTGATTTAGACCTGGTTTTAGTCCTTGTGTAGTCCTGGTTTAGACCTGGTTTAGTCCTGGTTTAGACCTGGTTTTAGACCTGGTTTAGTCCTGATTTAGACCTGGTTTTAGTCCTGGTTTAGTCCTGGTTTTAGACCTGGTTTAGTCCTGATTTAGACCTGGTTTTAGTCCTGGTTTAGTCCTGGTTTTAGTCCTGGTTTAGTCCTGGTTTAGTCCTGATTTAGACCTGGTTTTAGTCCTGGTTTAGACCTGGTTTAGCCCTGGTTCAATCCTGGTTTAGTCCTGGTTTAACCCTGGTTTTAGTCCTGATTTAGTCCTGGGTTAGTCCTGCTTTAGTCCTGATTTAGAACTGGTTTTAGCCCTGGCTTAGTCCTAGTTTAGACCTGGTTTTAGTCCTGGTTTAGTCCTGGTTTAGTCCTGGTTTAGACCTGGCTTAGATCTAGTTTACACCTGGTTTCAGTCCTGGTTTACCAAAATAAAAAATTAAAAAATAGCCCAAAATTTGAAAACAGGAAAATACCGCCATGTAATCCATTTATTTCAACAAAGTAACTGTAATCCAATTACCACTCACTGAAACAGTAACTGTAACTGAATACAGTTACTCATCATTTATACTCTGATTACGTAACTCCAGTACATGTAATCTGTTACTCCCCAACACTGGTGAATTATATGTCTTAGCAATGTGGCAAATCTTAATTGTTTAATTGCAATTTCACATTTTTAAATTTAACTATAGAATTCAAAACAAAGAAATGTGCAACATGTAATTTTAATTAATATTAAGTTGACTAATACAGACTTTTTGTAGCTGTCTCCATTAGAAGAAACTGAGCTGACCACTGAGATCTATCTTTTGATCACAGCTGGATCAAAATGAGCTCATCTGATCCATTTCCCAGTGTTGGTGAACTTGGTGAACTTGATGAACTCCGGTCTGTTTTGCTGTTTAGTGTTTGCCTTGGTCATGTTACAGTGAGCGTCCCTTCACATGGCAGGAGCCTGAAGAGCTGCACGGGGTCGCGGGGTCACAGAGGATAAATAAAGGAATGCAGACATGACACAGAGAACTGAGCCGGTCACTTAGCAACAGACGTAACATGTGATCCAACAACAAGAGTTAAATAAAAACTTGACGGCATTCTGAGGAGGGCTGATTCAAGACGGCAGGAATCACTTCAGATCAAAGTGCATATGACAGACTCATGTTTTTTCTAAGGCTGAGTTGGATTGGTAGTATAGTACCGATGGTCAATATTTATCAGTTTATCAGTGTCAGAGTTCTACATCAGTTAAGTGGCAGCCTGTGAAAAAAGTAAAAGTTGGATAATACAGTATCAGTATCAGTGATAAAGAATCCCCCTGCCTCTGTCATCAACTGAAATCCTGTGAAAGAACACCTGTCACTTACCGCTACACTTAATACTTTCCTACATTAACTGCCTACATATAGTTAACACTATATATAGTGTATATAAGTATACGTATGTGTGTATAAAATCCATAATAAACCATTAGCTCATGTTCACTCTAGAGCCAAGGATCAAGAGTTTTACTAAAGTGTGAAGGGGACAAAGGACAGCCCTGCCGCGTTTCCTTAAATATTAACTAGTATTAACCAGATGATTTGTTAAGTATAATAATTAATGTATGATGTTTTTCCTGTTTTTCAGGACTCTGAAGATGAAGAACAGTATTTCCCACTCCCCGCCCTCTGTGGCAGTTGGGACCGGGTGAGGAGCAGCAGAGAAAAATAGAAAAGAGAGAAGAGGTAGAAGAGAGAAAGGGACTGAACTTTGAGGAGAGAGGTATGAGGAAAACCTTAAAGTGTACATGACATGTTTTTATGTTTATTACCTGGATTGGTGGGATAGTACTAATGGTAAATATCATAGGTAATATAGGAGGTAGTGGTGAGAACTAAAACTGAACCCCTCTGTCTATGTCATCAACTGAAATCCTATGAAAGATGCAGGGACAATTTATGCACAAATGAGTGTTAAATCATGTTATAATGTTGTTTCCTCATCAAAAACATACCTAGAAATGTGCCTTATGCCTTGACGAAGACCATCTCGCTGGTTCAGCGTCCCTCTGTTTAATATTTTCAGTCGGTGTACCTCGGATTTGTACCTTGCCATTTTTACACTTTGCAGTAAGGGCGACATTCTGTTGAAACACCTGGAGCTGTGTTTTGTTTCATTCACACATTTGTGTAACCTTTTATTATTAGTCTGTCATGTAGCATTGGTTTTCAAATTAACAGCTTCTGTTTCCCTTTTGTTCAGTAGTGTGACGGAGCAGGCCCATCCCTAAGAACGCTGTCCCGGGGGAGAGCACGTAAAGACGCGCATGCCCGTTTCCATATTCACTGCGCTCCGTGCGCCAAACCATTTCTTACCAAAACCACTTATTAAAATAGATTTTCCCAACACCTCCTGTGTGTCTTGCCGCAACTAAGGGTGCACACTTAGTAGTGCTTGTTCGGTCCATCAAAATCACGCTAAACCAGTCAGTCACTTACCCTCGCGCCGCCGCCTTCGCCCTCCTTCCGTGGTGCGTTCTGGCAAACCCGGACACATCCGCGCTGGGAGCTTAAATCCTGCCGTTGCGCGGGTTCAGGGGATCATGTGAGCTACGATTCATTTGCATGCTCAGTTAAACGGATTGTCTGTCACTGAGACATTATAAACAAGACCTGTTCATTCTGGGCGCAAGGTATTACAGGTGTTTTTTTTTTTTTTTTTTTTTACGCAACCGCTGTAAATAATTTACCACTCACATTTGGCACCTTTTTGCACTGTTGGAGAAAACAATAAATCACCTAAAAGCATTTCCTGACTAAGCCTGAGTTTTCTGGAAGAACCCCACCCCAAGTAGAAATTCCAGGGTTGAAATAATCCAAATGATTCTAGTGAAGGTGTAGCACTGTGTATTACTACATGACATCACAAGGTGGAATGGAGTGTTTTCAGTTTGAGAGAAGAACTAAAGACTAAATATGCAGAGTTTGGGTGTTAAACGTGTGAATGAAACAAAACACAACTCTTTGTGATGATAAATCATTATAAAAGATCAGAAAATAGTAATTAATATGGGCCCTTGAAACATTGATTTAGCAAAATGAAGGTGTTTCTGTCTATTTGTATTTGTCTAATCTTAACTATTGTTTAATTTAGACAGGTGTCCAACCAGGAAGTCAAATTTTAAACAGATTTTTTGAATTTTGGACAGAGTTTTTTGTGTTGATGACATAGAGGGATTCTGAGCACCTGATCACAGTGTTCTACCACCTGATCACAGTGTTCTACCACCTGATCACACTGTTCTACCACCTGATCACACTGTTCTACCACCTGATCACACTGTTCTACCACCAGCCTTGTGTCACAAATAAACTTACCACTCATCATTCTACACTGTCACTTAACTGATGTAAAACTGATAAATACTGACCACAGGTTCTATCCACCAAATGGTTGGGAAGTGATTACAGTGAGGAACATTTATAAGGTAGTTAACCTGTTGCCAGAATCATACATTTGTCACATTTGTATCTCAACTTATATGACAAAAGAAAACATAAAACAGTCAAACATATCACATTTAAGGCCTGTTCATTGCAGCAGAAGCTGCATTACTTTGGCCACAAAAGTTTATGATAAACCTCTTGGACCCAACTAACCTAGTGCATCCTGATGTCTCTTCTTCAGATAGTGGATGGTGGACGGGGGGGCAGAGCTCTGAGCAACAGCGCCTCCCAGTGACAGGCCTGGACGGCGCGGCGAAACTCACTCGTGGTGATGGCTGCGGCGCTCTGAGGCTGCCATGGCAGCTGCTGCCGCCGATGCACCACAACGTTTCACCGCACTGAAAACGGAGGAAGAGGGACGCAGCAGGCTGTACGGGACCGGCCCAGCTCAAACACGGACCGAACGAGAGCGAGAGAGGGGGATAGAGAGGGAGAGAGAGAGGGGGATAGAGAGAGAGAGGGAGAGAGGGAAGGAGAGAGAGAGGGGGAGAGAGAAGAGGGACGGAGGAGGAGAGGTGGGGAGAGCGAGTGAGTGCTTGGTGTGCGGGGCTCTGTTTTCTTCTCAGGACAAACTTCGGCTTCACGCTCTGAGCCACAGCGGAGATAAACCATTCCACTGCTCCCAGCCGCTCTGCCCCAAAGCGTTCAGCTCCAAGTACAAGCTCTTCAGGTCTGTCACCACGGTAACCTCTAACTTTACTAACTGTTGTGTCTAATGCACTTATCTGTTCCTCCTCAGGCATATGGCCACACACTCCCCACAGAAGTCCCATCAGTGCACGTTCTGTGAAAAGATGTTCCACCGTAAAGACCACTTGAAGAACCACCTGCAGACCCATGACCCAAACAAAGAAGCCTTTAAGTGTGAGGAGTGTGGAAAGCACTACAACACCAAGCTAGGCTACAAGCGGCACGTGGCCATGCACTCTGCCACCTCCGGAGACCTGACGTGTAAAGTGTGTCTGCAGAGCTATGAGAGCACGCCTGTGCTACTGGAGCATCTAAAGAGCCACTCGGGGAAGTCCTCTGGAGGAGCCAAGGAGAAGAAGCACCCATGTGACCACTGCGACCGCCGCTTCTACACACGCAAGGACGTGCGCCGCCACATGGTGGTGCACACAGGCCGCAAGGACTTCCTGTGTCAGTACTGCGCTCAACGCTTTGGCCGCAAAGACCACCTGACCCGACACGTGAAGAAGAGTCACTCTCAAGAGCTGCTAAAGATCAAGAGCGAACCACCGGACATGCTAGGCCTGCTGGCCTCAGCGTCGCCCCCTTGTGCCGTGAAGGAAGAGCTCAGCCCCATGATGTGCGCCATGGGCCCGAACAAAGACCCTCTGATGGGGAAGCCCTTCCCCAGCGCCGCACCCTTCTCTATGGGCATGTACAACCCCCACATCCAGGCCATGTCCGGCCCGGCCGTGGCCCACCCTCCCCTTATGTCCATGGGCATGGGCTGCCATGAGCCAGGGCCCCTGCACCCACACTCCCATCACCACCACCACCATCATCACCACCATCACCACCACCACTCCTCCCCGGCACCCCCACACCACCAGCCCCAGCCTCCCCAGCCCCCCGCGCCCAAGTACCCTCTGGGATCTACCTCATATCTGCTGGACAAGCCGCTGAAGGTGGAGATGGAGAGCTTCCTGATGGATCTGCAGAGTGGGCTGGGCCCCCTGCCGGAGCCTCACGCTGCTGCGGAGCCCCCGAAGGAGGAGGCGTCGTCTGGGATGAGCGAAGAGCTCGACCCCCTCCTGTCCAAGAGCCCTGCGGTAATCGCAGAGTCTCTGTGTGCTGCTAACATGGACTTCTCCCACCTGCTGGGCTTCCTGCCTCTCAACTTGCCTCCCTACAGCGCCCCCATGAGCTCGGGCGGGCTGGTGATGGGCTACACCACAGGCCCCTCCTCTTCCTCGTCCTCTTCCTCGTCTCTGCACGCGGCCGATCCTCACGCCGCTGTTACCTCCGTGCAACCGCAACCTCAGGAGCCCAGCACACTCACACTGCCCCCGGTTTTCAGCTCTGGGATCAGCTCCACCACTCTGCCGCGCTTCCACCAGGCCTTCCAGTGACTGGCTTGGCTTTGTCTATCCTACGAATATAATGAGTATAACGACATATTAACCCTTTATTACCTCCTGTTTACCCCGCGTTATTTAGTCGCATAGAGCAGCATCAGTAGGCCTAAAGGCGTGGTACTGCAAACCTTCTAAAGTAATAATATAACAAAAAAATCAAAGGTAATTTTAGTGCAGATTATCGTTTTGTTGTGACCCAGAAAATATAGTTTGAAGTGGATATTTTGTTTAATTTTTTTCCTTTTCCAAATGTAAAAATATGATAGAACGTGCCTCATTTTATGTTCTCTAAAACTAAGATTAGGGAACAGAGGTGGACAGCGTTTGAATCCTAAAGCTTGTCCTCTCTGTGGCTAAAGGCTAATGCTTGCACAGCCACTGCCTTTAAAAAGTGCTCTTCAAAACAAACCCAAAAATGTCCCTGATTTTGTCGCCACTTTTTGCTCATAGAGTGAATCTGGCGCCCTCTAAAGTCTCGATGTATGCTGCGGCGTTTGTCCACAGGTCCGAAGATTGAAAATGTTCATGCTGGTTTTTTACTTTTCCTCAAGAGAAGCACTTTTTTTAGCAAAGGCACTTCATCTTTTTAGTACTTTTCTTTAGTAAAACCTGCTCTCATTGGTAGGTTTCAGAGGCAGTCATGCAGTCTTCACTGGATGGCACATTACCATGGCAACACTGGAGGCACTGCTCTGTATGAAGCACTCTTAATCTTTGGTTGTAGCTCAGAAATGCCTGGCATGTCCTGACTGTTAATTCTCTATATTTTTAAACAGATTGAGATCAGTCTAGTCTCCCTCCGCCGTGTTGTGAGCCAGAGCCAAACATGATCGTCCAATCAGATTAGTTTATTTCACTGACACATGTGAAAAAAAGGAGCTCATTGGTCACCATAATTTTGAACAAAATGACATTTCCCTCACCTCAGATGAACAGAGTTTAGTACTTTCCTCAGTGATTCTGCATACCGTATTTTTCGGACTATAAGTCACTCCGGAGTATAAGTCGCACTAGCAAAAAATGCATAATGAAGAAGAAAAAAACCATAAGTCTCATCAGACTGTAAGTCACACTTTTGGGAGAAATTATTTTTTTTTATAAAATCAGGGACCAGGAACCAACATTTCATCTTGAAAGGCAAGTTATAGCAATAATAACAATATAATAAAGAACAACAGACTGTTAACGTCATATATGAACAGTTCTTCAGATAACTATAACATAAACAACAGAACAGAACAAGTTTACCAAACTCTCCATCTCACTCCAAATCACTAAATCCGTTGAATTCTTCATCCTCGGTGTCACTTCTGAGCAACTCCGCACAACTTCGTTGGTCACTGAAGTCCAGGCTTTGTCATCCAGTGACTTCCCGGAAAGTTGCATGGTGCACACTCCTGGTTTCCGTGAAGCTGTGTTCTCCATCCCCGCCTTTCACCAGTCCCTTACAAGTTTCTCTCTCATTTCAAACTTGCTTTCTGCTGCTCGATTACCATTTTCTGCTGCCTGTTTCACTACTTGCAGCAGGACAGAGGCTTTTTCTGCAAGAGACACATGCAGAAAACTGATACACAAGCCTAGAGGCTCTCGTAGCTGTCAGCCTGAAAATTATAATATATATGTCACACTGAAGTATAAGTCACAGGACCACCCAAACCATGAAAAAAAGCGACTTTCAGTAAATCCACCATGTTCTTTTATTTTTCTCATAAGCAGCCAGATTTGTTTTGATGCAGATGGTTCATACGTGTCTGTCAATCACACCCATCTGAACTCTGGGAGATGACCGATGACCACACTCACATCTTCGTAAAGTATTTGAGAAGTGTGCGTTCTGTATTCCGAGGCTACGAAAACCTGGGACAGTGAGACAGAGATGAAGATTAAACTCCGAACCGTCGTATGACCGAAGACGAGCTGCAATAGATACCTGCAGTGTCTGATATTTTGGGACCTCGGTCACAGCGTGAGCCCTCGTCTCACCGCGTCTACAATCAATCTCTGTCAAACATGTGACAAACTCCGAAAACAGGATGAAGTACAGACTCATTTGAGGTGGTTTAACTCTGAAATGTATTGAAAAGCACTTCTAAACTCATCGCAGTGAATCATTAGAATGCGACAAAGATAGAAAGTTTCAAATGAACGTGAAAAAAACTTGTAACAACACAATCCGAGTTCTAAGATTTTTATTTTATCCAACCATTTAAAATTATTTGTGGTAATGTTTCCTAATGTGTGTCGCCATGGTAACTGTGCCACCCAGCGGAACGCAAGATCAATATTTTGGTTTAGTGAGGTTTTCCTTATTCTCAGGCCTTAAAATGGTCTGAACTAGAGACATTTTAGCTCCTCTCAAACTTCACGAGAGAATCTTTTATCGCAGCTGTTTTCGCGGCTGCTCAAATACTGTAAATCTCCATTAAACTCCATAAAAACCTTAGACTTTTCACAAATATCGAGCGCTCTGGTCATGCTAAACCCTGACAGATGTGAAACGCGAAGCAAACAAGCAATAGTTGTGTTAAGAATGTTATTGCAGTGTACGAACTATCTCAAAATTGAATATTATAATTGCTTTTATCTCAGTAAAAAGTGTATTTTGTAGGTATAGCTGATATTTTTTTTTATGTATGGCAGGTTTACAATTGTATCTTGCTTTTTTTTTTTTTTCAAATGATGGATGAAGTATTATTAGCTTTTCCTTAAGCTTTTTGTGTCATATCCAGTCTTTGTACCTTCTTTTGTTAGCTTAGCGGAATCAAAACTGTGGATGGGAAAGCTATATAGGGCTGTTAGCAGCTAATAATCAGTTAGCATGTGAGCTAGGAGAGTTAGCGTCATAGGAAATCATGTAAAAGGATAGAAAGTGTATCCTATTGGACTTTTATGGACTGTTTATGAACTTTTCACCAGCAGCCTTTTCAGTACCTGAGCCCAAAGCTAACCGAAACCTCAACTAACACATGTCCACGTCAACATTTACGATAAAAAACAAAAAAAAAAGTGAAAAATTAAACCTAGCACATAAGATTTAATGAAATAATTGCTGCTTTTTGCTACGGTTGCTAACAGATACCAACTGTAGACCACTAGAACATTTCAATTTGTCATTCTTCCATGTTGGACAGTGTTTCTTCCTCGCACTGTAAAAAAGAAACATCTACATGAGTTTTGATGACTTCAGTTCACAATGTGAACTCAGTTGTTTCAACGTGATAAGATGCATTTCCCCCAATAAACTAATTTGTTTTGGGGACTGCATAACCCCATTAGGTTCCAAAATCAACATTTCATCACTCCACTGGCAAGAAATTAAGCTTAAAGCAAGAAACGATAGAACCTACAGAAGTATTTCTAAGACAGTTTTCAGTGTAGGCTTATTGCAAGCTGAAAAAATCCATTTCAGTCTATTCAGCTTTGGCGCAGAGAAAAAGTTTGTTTGAAGACATTTTGCAGCTCATCCAAGATGCTTCTTCAGTTCTGGTCAGACCCTGGTGGACACTTCCTTATATCTGTCTGCAGGGAGGAGCTGACTAACTACTCTGAAACTAACATACCTGCTTGTTTATAGTTTCAGTTAGTTAGTTAGTCCTATTGACCTGTACTGCAGGGGTCCAAACTTGTTTCATCAAGGGTCACATATCTAAACACAGAAGAAGCAGAGGACTGATCAAGGGCCGTAGACTGATGCTCAATACAGTGAATAATTGAAATATGTGCATGTTTCGTCAGTCTTTATTGATGCTAAGATCCTTAAAACCACACAGTAAATATTAAATATTGGCTTGATCAAGGTAGATTTTCAAAAAACTTGCAATAAAAAGTTGGAAGCCTGAGGGCCAAGAAAAATGTGTCTGAGGGCCGCATTTGGCCCATGAGCCATAGTTTGGACATATCTGCTGTACAGGGTGTGGGGTTGTAAATTGGAGTTGTAAATTGGATGGAGTTGTAAATTGGAGATAGATGGTGTCTGAGGCCTCCATTTCTGTTTAGAGAAGGATTCTCTAGAACTGAAGAAGCAGCTTGGATGAGCTGCGAAACTTCTTCAACCAAACTAACTTTCGTCCAGTCGACAAACTGAATTTTCTCCTCGCCATTGATTCTACCTGGACAACTGAGGGATTCTTCACACTCTATTCAACAGAATGAACTGACCCAAATGAGGAATATTGTGTTCAGGAAATGACTGTTGAAATAAGTAAGTGGTGGCTGAGTGGACAGCACTCTCACCTCACAGCAAGAAGGTCCTGGGTTTGATTCCCTGGCCGCCTGGCGCTTTCTGTGTTGAGCATGTTCAACCTGTGTCTGGGTGGGTTTCGCCCAGACACTCCAGTTTTCCCCGTAAGCTCAAACATGCACCACAGGTCAAATCCTCCAGTTAAGATAGTCCTGACCAAGAGAAACCCGAGATCTGGAGATGGCTCCTAATGAGATGTCCCAGTGGGTATTTAAATATAGTTGACCTTCAGTCATTAAAAAAAAAAATCTACAAAATCAAAAAGTATACTGAAATGTACGCTCCGAAACAGCCTACCTCAAAATGAGAGGAATATGCCAGCTTCATGAGTGAATACATCTGAACTAGTCCAGATGACTCAAGCTCACATTGTAAACTGGAGTTGTTTCAGTTCTTGTAGACGTTGTTTTGGCAGTGCGCTCTCTCAGCTGCTTTAGTGTCAAGGAAAAGGGTCGGAAAAGACGGCGCTCAGAGGTGCCTAAAGTCTTTGTTTTGTTTATGTCATATTATGATATTATTATTTTCTGTTTGTAAAAAAAACAGGACCTCAGAAACAACACAACACATCACCTCATTTTTATTTTTATTTTTTTCTTACCAAAACCTGGGGAGAAGAAACTATACTTTTGCACAATAGCTTCTTTTAATGTGATTTATTACAACATTTTATTGTGTTAGCCCTTGTTTAATAACCAAATCATATCCAGTATATTATCTGCAGTATTTGCTAGGGTTGTCAAAAAAGATACTCATCGATACCAAAACTAGGATCGAAACTAGATGCTCATTTGAACCAGGCCAACTAATCTCATAGAAGCTTTATCAAGACTAGTATGGATATGGTAATATAGATTTAGTGTAGAAAGTTACATTATATTGTCTAAAATGTATTATTATGTATTATCATTATGGTATAAAAATCAGAATCGAGTATCGAGCCCATCCCTTCATATCCAAATCAAGTTGTAGTATTAGTATCATGACAACACTAGTATTTACTGCCCCAATGTGTCAATCAAACCCCAAGTTTAACAGAAGTGAGGTTAAATCACTATAATGACATTTGACTAGTCGACCCCTGGAACACCATTAGTTGAATAATGGTCATTTTTGATCAATATTTAGTTGATCCTAAATTTTTTTGTCTGTACTTTTGGTTTTTTGGAATCACAAAATATTAAAAGGAAAAAAGACAAGATTTGAAATTTTTAGAATCTTTTAAAAAAAGGTAATCTCTGAGGCTTAAGCCTAATTTGTAGCAATCAAATCGAGCATTTATAGTTTTCTTTATTCTTCAAAATGAGTCCTTAAAATATAAAATGATAAAAATAGAAGCTGTTGAGAGGGCTCTGGCTGCAGACCTCCACCCAGGGGACCCTCACGTGACATACCTGCATCCTCTTTTCAAAGTATTTTTACAAACGTTATCATAGCTTTACTCTAAAGACCTGCTCAAACCCTCCTGAACTTAATCATTACAGACTTATGCCTAATCTTAAAGAACCCGTATTACACTATTTTCTCATCTTTGTTATAATTTTTGTTTCCTCATCACAAACAGACCTGGAGTTGTGTTTGGTTTCCTTCACAACTCTGCAGATTTAGGCTGAGTACTTCTGTGAAACACAAAACGCTGTATTCCACCTTGTGATGTCATGTTGTAGTAGTTGTTGTAGGAAGTGCTCCTGTATGTTTTTAAACCCCACACACCTTCACTAGAATCATTTCGGTGATTTCACTGTGGAATTGCCAGTCTCTACTGAACAAAAGGTAAAAGGAGCTGTTAACTTGAAAACTACGCTTTCATGACATCACAAGGTGGAATAGGGCATTTTGAGCTTTGGAGATGTATGTTTTATTGAGAACTTCTGAGGAGGTAACAACATTATAACATGGTTTAAAGCTCACGGGAGTAAATTTTGCGTAATATTGGACCTTAAACCAGACACACACACAACTAAATGAAATATTCCAGTTTGGAGAAACCAAAACCAAGTCCCATTACACATCAGGAGGTATCGCCATGTATTGGGGTTTAAATTAAGGTGACCAGACATCCTGATTTACCCGGGACAGTCCCAGTTTTAAGATCTGCGTCCTCTGTCCCAGCAGATTAATCCAAAACTAGTGATTTGTCACAGTTTTATACAAGAAATGTCCCAATTTGATTCCTTCCAAGGCTTAAAAAACAGAAAAGCTGCTTAAAAACGACCAAAACACAAAGAAAATGTGACTATACTGGCTCGTGTTAGTCATGAATGGTGTCTGCTTAACAATTTTCCTTAATTACGCACTCCATTCACAATTTTATTATTACCAACAACCAGTGTTAGGAAGGTTACTTTTAAAATGTATTCCCTTACAGATTACAGATTACATACCCCAAAATGTAGTTTGTAACATAATCCATTAAATTTCTTCAAGTGAGTAATGTAATCTGAATACTTTGGATTACTTGATTTGCTGTAGAGAAGCAAAGACTCGGACATCTTTACATAAGATGTTTTATCTGCTAAAAGAAAATTAAAAGCCCAGACTTTACATAACCAAATTAAAAATATTGCTAGAAGACAAGGAGACACGGTCCACACGGCAGAGTTTAGTCCTGTTAAATCCTGTTTTAGTCCTGGTTTAGATCTAGTTTAGACCTGGTTTTAGTCCTGGTTTTAGTCCTGGTTTAGACCTGGTTTTAGTCCTGGTTTTAGACCTGGTTTTAGTCCTGGTTTAGTCCTGGTTTAGACCTGATTTAGATCTAGTTTAGACCTGGTTTCAGTCCTGGTTCAGTCCTGATTTAGCCCTGGTTTAGTGTCCGGCAATGAATGGAAAAAGGGATATAGCCCAAAATGTGAAAACAGGAAAATACCGCCATGTAATCCATTTATTTCAACAAAGTAACTGTAATCCAGTTACCACTCACTGAAACAGAAACTGTAACTGAATACAGTTACTCATAATTTGTACTCTGATTACGTAACTCCAGTACATGTAATCTGTTACTCCCCAACAACACTGCCAACAACCAAAAAAACTAAAGATATTCCAGTTTTTTATTTTGAAATTCTGGTCGCCCTAGTTTAAATGTGCTATCTTCGGAATTCTAATAAGAGTAAAGAACATGTCATAGTGAACTAAAGCCACAACTGGTTAAAAAGTGTAACAAAATGGAGTAAAAATGAATAAAAACGTTGGAGAACGTGCGGGTGGAGGTGTTCGGCCGCGCTCTCTCGAAGCTGTTGGCATGTTCCAGTTTGTCCTCCCTGGGTTTCTGTGAGCTAATCTGAATTCTATAGCACTTTCAACAAGAGTATTTTCTTTAAAGTTTTCAGCTGTTTAAGTTTTGTATTTTGATCCTGTATATGAACGTGCCATTAGTTTGATGTGTAGAACTTTATCGACTTTGTGTATTTGCTTCTTTGGAATAACAGTATTTTTGATAAACTTCCTTCACTAATATTCTCCTTTTAAAACTATCCCGTTTTTCCTGGAGGAGGCGGTATTCTCTCTCCTCCTAAATTTATATCATGATTTTTTTGTTTTTGTTTTTTTTCGCAGCCAGTTGCTAATGCTAACAGGCTAACAGGGCTACATGTGGCTAACAGAGGAGCATGTGCACAGTATGCTAACGTTACATAAACACACACAATAATGACAATTCATTTTGGCTGATACAAACGAAATAAAATCGCTATAATTTTACCTCATTGCTTTATTAGTTGTAAAACTTTAGATGGAATGAGGACAGGAGGCATCTGGGGAGAGGGGGGTCTCCTAAAACGAAAGTACTTAGAATTGAACACACTGATTCATCTAATTAGACCAGTTTTAATCCTGGTTTAGTCCCAGTTTAGTCCTGATTCAGACATATTTTATTGTCTGGTTTAGTCTTTGTTAAGTCCCGGGTTTAGTCCTCAGATTAGTCCTGGTTTAGTTTTAGTTAAATCCTGATTCAGACCTGGTTTAGTCCTGCTTTAGTCTCTTGATTAGTCTTGGATAAGTTATGATTTAGTCCTGGTCTAGTCCTGTTTTCACCCTGATGTAGTCCAGGTTTAGTCCTGCCTCAAACCTGGTTTAGTCCTGGTTTAGTCCTGGTTTACACCTGTCTTAGTCCAAGTTTAGTTCTGGTTTAGTCCTGGATTAGTCCCTGTTTTCATCCTGATTTAATTCTAGTTTAGACTTGGTTTAGTCCTGGTTTAGTTCCTGTTTTCATGCTGGTTTAGACCTGGTTTAGGCCTGGTTTAGACCTGATTTAGACCGTTTTTAGACCTGGTTTAGACCTGGTTTAGTCCTGGTTTAGACCTGGTTTATACCTGGTTTAGTCCTGGTTTAGGCCTGGTTTAGACCTGATTTAGACCGTTTTTAGACCTGGTTTAGACCTGGTTTAGTCCTGGTTTAGACCTTTTTTAGTCCTGGTTTAGACCTGGTTTATACCTGGTTTAGTCCTGGTTTAGTCCTGGTTTAGACCTGGTTTAGTCCTGGTTTAGTCCTGGTTTAGACCTGGTTTAGTCCTGGTTTAGTCCTGGTTTAGACCTGGTTTTAGTCCTGGTTTAGTCCTGGTTTAGACCTGGTTTAGTCCTGGTTTAGTCCTGGTTTAGACCTGGTTTAGTCCTGGTTTAGTGGTTTAGACCTGGTTTAGTCCTGGTTTAGTCCTGGTTTAGACCTGGTTTAGTCCTGGTTTAGTCCTGGTTTAGACCTGGTTTAGACCTGGTTTAGTCCTGGTTTAGTCCTGGTTTAGTCCTGGTTTAGACCTGGTTTAGACCTGGTTTAGTCCTGGTTTAGTCCTGGTTTAGACCTGGTTTAGTCCTGGTTTAGTCCTGGTTTAGTCCTGGTTTAGACCTGGTTTAGACCTGGTCTAAGAGCTGGAGAAGTGCACTTGTATTTGCCATAACCACATTTGTGCCAGTCAGTCTGTGTTGTCCATTGGTGAGGCTCGGCTCCTGTCACATGACTCCTGACCTCTGAACATGACCCTGTCACATGACCTTTGACCTCTGAGCATGGCGGCCCTGTGGCTCTGTGTAGCGCCCCCTGGCTGTGGCTCCGATACCTCGCTGCACCTGCCAGACTTACGCACTTACCCTGATCTTTCCTCTGGCAGGTGCAGAAATCGCTCATTTATTTTAAGGGAATTATGTTTTGAATTTGCCTGAGAAAAAAAAACTGAACTTTAATTTTAATATTTTCATCCCTTTGTCTTTTCACTGCAAAAACAAATGTCTAAATTTGTACTTAAAATGACTTGAAATTTGTCAAATTTTTTGGATCTCATGTCTAGGTTTGAAATTTGAATCTGACATTTTTGGTGTTTGGAAATATCCAAATCCCATAACATTTTTTTTATTTTTATTTTTTTATGTAGAGGACAGAATCAAGATTTGTTTTCACAGTTTTCCCTGGTTTACTCTTGGTGTAGTCTTTGTTAATTCATGATTCAGACCTAGTTTAGTCTCTGGTTTAGACCCTGTTTTAGTTCTGGCTTAGTCCTGGTTTAGTCCTGTTTTAGACCTGTTTTAGTCCTGTTTTAGACCTGGTTTACTCCTGGTTTAGTCCTGGTTTAGACCTGGTTTAGATTTGTTTTAGTCCTGGTTTAGTTCTGATTTAGTCCCTGGTTTAGTCCTAGTTCAGTCCGGGTTCAGTCGTGATTTAGTCCCTGGTTTATTCATCTTTAGCTTTTGTCAAGTCCTGATTCAGACCTGGTTTAGACTTGGTTTAGTCCTGGTCTATTCTTGGATTAATCCTTGGTTTCTTATTTTAGTTTTTGAATTTGATTGATGAATTTTGGTCTAGTTTTTGGTGTTTGGAAATGTCAGAATGATGATTTTCTTAAAGCAGAGGCCACAGTTTAGATTTAATGTCATATTTTTGTTATATCCCAAAGCAAAATGATGGGCCACTTGAACAGGATTTCAAATTCTAATTTTTAAGATGAGATGTAAAAAAGATCTAAAACATATTTTTAAATGATTCAAATCTCTTCTAGATGCGTTTTACTACCAAATTTTAGTCACAGAACAACCACAGTCTTAGCCACAATCAGCCCAAACCAGACATGAATTCATCTGAACAAACACGACATTTTAAAATCAAAATCCTCAAGTCATTTTTTCACAGATGTAGACATTATTTGTGCAGTGTCTTTTCTTCAATGCTTTTAGTGCAAACTGGTACTCCTCGCATAGTTCAGATATGTTTAGCTTAAACGTTTTGCATTCCAGTCTGTGTACTCCTGTGTACCTTTACAGTCTGTGTGTACCTTTACAGTCTGTGTACCTTTACAGTCTGTGTACCTTTACAGTCTGTGTGTACCTTTACAGTCTGTGTGTACCTTTACAGTCTGTGTACCTTTACAGTCTGTGTGTACCTTTACAGTCTGTGTGTACCTTTACAGTCTGTGTACCTGTACAGCCTGTGTCCTTGCCTCCTGCTTTCTCAGACACACTCACAGAAGGTCTTGGGAGCTCCACGCTGTTCTGTCTGTGCAGATTCTGAATCCATGTGTGTAAAGGAGAAGTGGGAGCAGTGTTGTGGTTTCTGGCCGTTAGCTTTCCTCTCTAGCGTCTGCGTACTTGTGAATGACTGCAGGACATTGGTCGATCCAAAGACGCAGGCTCGAATATGATTGGACGAGACTGTCATATGTTTCTGTGATTAAAGAGAAAGCAGCCGTTCACCCTCTCCGACTCTGTCTCTGCTTTTCATTCATTTACCTTTTATACATGGGTTTGGATTTCTACACTACATTATAACACTAAAGATATGGTCTGTGTGATAGGCCAAAGGTCATCAATCTGATGTCACCAGCTTTCCCTGGGGGTGAATCTAACTGTAGGCACTGCTCTGTCTGAAGCTCTATCACTCAAGTAAGACCTGAGGGTTTTTTTTTGACACAGTCTGAACAGAAAGAACTGATTTAGCTGGAATTACAACAGGTCATTACACTATCTCCTCTCTTAAACAGGATCATGAATTGTCATATTGATCACAGGCTCCTGAAAATGTGACGACGATCTTACAAACTTTTATGAGTGTTTGCTACGTATGCATTGTGTCTCCACAGTAACTGCTGAACATTCAGCCATACACATAAATGTAGACCCCCCAGTGTAATGTCAGTGCGAAGCAACAATAGGCAATTCCAAAGTGTATGTTTTATACATATGAATTGTTGTTCCTCGTCAAATGGTTGAAAAGTTCTTGGATGATTTTTTTCCAAACTGAATGAATTAATTGAGAGTTTTGCACCAGCGCCCCCTGGAGGTCAACACTCGACCCACACGTTCTGGAAATGGACTTCAACTTAGACAAACTTTACTGATCCACATGAAAATGATTTGGACACAGGAGCTCACACATCACAATATTATATAATAACAAAGAGCAAAAATATCAGTGGTCATAATACAAGAGACAGGTGTCAAAGGTGACATAATTATATACATTTAAATGTACACGTAAAAATAAAACAGAAAAATAAAATATATATATGATGATTGACAGGACACAGGGTTATGTGTTACATAATGGTGAGTTGTTGTACAGTTGTAGGGAGTATTATCTATTATATAAAGGTGAGTTGTACAGTTGTAGGGAGTATTATCTGTTACATAAGGGTGAGTTGTCGGGAGTATTATGTGTTACATAAAGATGAGTTGTACAGTTGTAGGGAGTATTATCTGTTACATAAGGCTGAGCTCTTGTACAGTTGTAGGGAGTATTATTTTTTTTTTTTTTTTGGTTTTTTGAGTGGGCTTGCATCTCCATAAACCTGACTCTTATGTTGCTCCTGCTTGTTTACATGGAAAAGCTGTTCCTTTGGCAAAAATATTCCATAGTGTGGCATAAAACTTATCCAACTCTATTTCCATGGAATCATGCAGGTGACGTGCCACTTCCAGAAAGTTCCATATGTGGCTTTAGTACAGTTTCAGAAAAGCTGCAGCGGGTTCAGGTGGTGGTGTGGAGATCTTTTTTGTGTAAAGGGATGGATTTGAATGTTGCAGAATGAAACAAAACATGAAAACAGAAGAACAGACTGAAGAAGAAGAAGAGGTGTCAGCAGACATGAGTGAGATGTGGAGAGAACACATTTTCACCTGAAGGAAGTCAACTTTGAATGTCTCTCTTGCTATTTTTGTCTATCCCTCCCTCTCCTTCCTTATACCCCCACACTCTCCCATCTCTCTCTTCAACTCTGTCACTCTTTTCCTCTCCTCTTCTTCATCTCTCTCTCCCTCCCCCTGGCCTCCTCCTCCTCTCCTCCCTTCTGTGTGAGTTGTGGCTCTTTTTCTCTCTCTCTTTGTTATCTCCGCTGTCATCTGTGACAAAAGGAGCCCCGGCGGTTGTTTGAGCGGCGCGCTGCAGCTGTCGGAGCCAAAGACGCGACACAAAAGCCGCGTCGGTTTGGACGAGCTCCGCTGCTCCGGAGGATGCGGAGGATTACAGCTCCAGGAGGCGGAGTGCGGCTTCCTCCTCCGCGCAGCCGCAAACACACACCAATATCATCATCATCATCACACAACTCATCTGATCAAGTTTAAGTCGAGTCTATTTAAATACACAAACCTAAACAGGAAAAACACAGGATGAGCAAAAATACTCCACTGTACCACAACAGAGTCAAACCAAACCAACATAAAGTGAACTGAGACAAAATGAACTAAATGTGTTTTGAATATACTGGTATGGAGAAATAAGAATATCTAAAAGTTAAAGGTACTCTCAGACAGTGTTGGGAAGTTTACTCTTAAAATGTATTCCCCTACAGATTACAGATTACAGATTACACACCCCAAAATGTAGTTTGTAACGGAATCCATCAAGTTACTTAAGGTGAGTAACGTAATCTGAATACTTTGGATTACTTGATTTGCTGTTGAAAAGCAAAGATGAGGAAATCTTCACATAAGATGTTTTCTCTGATAAAAGAAAATAAAAAGCCCAGACGTTACTGAACCAAATTAAAAATATTATTGATAGAAGACGAGGAGACACGGTCTATGCATGGCTTAGTCCTGTTAAATCTTGTTTGAGACATAGCTTAAACCTGGTTTTAGTCCTGGTTTAGTCTTGGTTTAGTCCTGGTTTAGTCCAGGCTTAGTCTTGGTTTAGTCTTGGTTTAGATCTAGTTTAGACCTGGTTTAGACCTGGTTTTAGACCAGGTTTAGACCTGGTTTAGTGTCTGGCAATGAGTGGAATTACCAAAAAAAAAAAAAAAAAAAGTGAAAACAGGAAAATACCGGTGTGTAATCCATTTATTTCAACAAAGTAACTGTAATCTAATTACCACTCACTTAAACAGTAACTGTAACTGAATACAGTTACTCATCATTTGTACTCTGATTACATAACTCTGGTACATGTAATCTGTTACTCCCCAACACTGCTCTCAGAGACTGTAGAAAGTGGACTGAGGGAGTTCGCTCCAGTCAAATGAAGCTCATCGAGGCTTGTCGTTATGGGGCAAATTTTAGTCAAGTTAATATTAGGGAACAGAAAATGATTTATGGATAAAATAGGGAAATAAAAAAAAACAGGGTAATGTAGACATTTAAGACAAATCATCATGAGACATTTAAGACAAAATGAACTAAATGTGTTTTGAATATACTGGTATGGAGAAATAGGAACATCTAAAAGTTAAAGGTACTCTCAGAGACTGTAGAAAGTGGACTGACGGAGTTCGATCCAGTCAAATGAAGCTCATCGAGGCTTGACGTTACAGGGGCAAATTTTCATCAAGTTTATATTAGGGAATAGAAAATTATTTAAGGATAAAATAGGGAAATAAAAAAAAAACAGGATCATGTAGAGCGGTTGATAACAACAAACAAATGCAGTTAAAAAGAAATAAGAATATTTTAAGACTAAACCAAAAATGTGTGTGACATCAGCAATCACAGAGAGAGCAGAAATGTTTTTTTCTAAAGAACACCTATTGTTCCAAATCGACATTTTCAGAAGTTTTAATCATGTTATAGCTGTTCCTCCTTCCTATTAACCCTCTGAAGTTATATTTGGAGTTATTCGTGCATGTTTGTGTGATAAGTGTGCACTGCATCTCACTGATCACAGCCTGTTTGCATTGACTCCAGGTGAGACATGAAATAGTCCCCGTGGGTTGCACATGGACAAACCTCTCACTGCTTTCCTTTAGTGCAGACAAGTACTTAAATCCACATCTCCGCTTCAGACAGTAGTGACTGGCGGATTGGCTATATCCATTTACAAGTGTAGTACCATACAGTCATGTCAAACATTATGTCACCTGTATGATTCCATAGAAACAGAAAGTTAAAGTTCAAAGTTTAGTTTATTGTCAATTTCTTCACATGAACTAGACATACAAAGAAATCAAAATTACGTTTCTCTCTATCCCATGCGTGGACAAGACAGAACAAAAATTTAAATAGGCAAGGCAAGGCAAAGCAAGTTTATTTGTACAGCACAATTCATACACAAAGTAATTCAAAGTGCTTTACAGAATAAGAAATACATTAAAATCATAATAAAAACAAATCAAAACATAAATAATCATAAAGATTAAAATTTAAAAAGAGAGACATAAATTAAAGAGAAGAGTGCGGAATGAAAACATTTCATTTATATGCACAGTCAAACAGAAAAGTTTTGAGCCTGGATTTAAACAGCGTCAAAGAAGAGTCTGTCTCACATGTTCAGACTGTTCCAGGTTTTATATATATATATATATATATATATATATATATATATATATATATATATATATATATATATATATATATATATATATATATATATATATATATATATATATTGCGATGTCAACCACCATGGCTCTGCTCTGTTTCTTATCCACCACCACTATGTCTGGTTGGTTCGCCATCACCATTCTGTCAGTCTGTATCTGGAAGTCCCACAGGATCTTGGCTTGGTCATTCTCCACAACCTTTGGAGGTGTTTCCCACCTTGATCCTGGGGTCTCCAGCCCATACTCTGCACAGATGTTTCTGTACACTATGCCCGCAACTTGGTTATGTCGCTCCATGTATGCTTTCCCTGCCAGCATCTTACACCCTGCAGTTATGTGCTGGACTGTCTCAGGAGCCTCTTTGCACAGTCTACACCGTGGCTCTTGTCTGGTGTGGTAGATCTGGGCCTCTATTACTCGAGTGCCCAGTGCCTGCTCCTGAGCAGCCAGGATCAGTGCCTCTGTGCTGTCCTTCAGACCAGCCCTCCAGTTTGTCCTGCCATGATGGTCCCTCCAGCACCTCTTCCTCTGGACCCCACTGTCTGAGACATTCTCTGAGCACCTCATCTGCCGGGGCCTTGTGGTTGACATCGCAATACCAAGCGATGGTAATATCAGGAAAAAGGAACACGAGAAGCTAGAGAAATACCAGGGGCTCAAGGAAGAGCTGGAGAGAGCCTGGAAAGTAAAGGCATCAGTGATGCCTGTGGTGATCGGACACTCGGGGCTGTAACCCCCAAACTGGAAGAGTGGCTTCAACAGATACCGGGAAAAACAATGGACATCTCAGTCCAGAAAAGTGCAGTACTGGGAACAGCAAAGATACTGCGCAGAACTCTCAAGCTCCCAGGCCTCTGGTAGACGACCCGAGCTGAATGAGGGTGAGAGACCAACCACCGTGGAAGGTGAGAAACACATTTTTATTTTTTATTTATTTTTTATATATATATATATATATATATATATATATATATATATATATATATTATATATATATATATATATATATATATATATATATATATATATATATATATATATATATATATATATATATATATATATATAGCAGAAGCGAGCATCCAAGCAAGCCTAGTCCTAATTATTTCAATTACTGTAAATTGAAAAGAAAATCACATAAACTCACATTGCATTTAGTATTTAATTACAAATATATAAATGTGCTTTTATTTTAGTTTATTTTATGGATATAAAGTACTGCAGGGATCACCACCTGCTTCTTTCCATTGATTTTAATGCATGGAAATTTTCACGTTATGGCATTAAAATAATCAATCACAAAAGGTGTATTCAAAGCTTACCCCTTTACCCCTGACAACTCCAGGCAGAGTTACAGTCACATGCCATACTGTGGAACTTTCTAGACAAAGCAATAATCTCTCCATGGAGACAAACATATGGCTGACTTGCCATCAGAAAGGTCACATAGTGCACCTTTAATACACAATAAAGTTTATAATATGAAGCTAGTCACTTTAGGGGAAAATAGCCAGGGATATATTATCTTTGGATCAACAAGGATTTCCCCATTTAAGGAGAAATAAACACAATGAACTTAAATAAACAAAATTTAAACAAATGAACGTGTCTAAAACACTGTGACAAATACTTTAATTCTAATACTCTGCCTACTAATAAAATGATGAAAGTTAAACCTGTGCTCCTGTCTGTCATTACGCACTCCGCTCCAACAGACGGCGACGCACAGCCATATGCGCACAGCCAAAGATGCGCCCCCAAAGCATGCTGGGAGATGTTGGACCCACAATGGCGGACAGTGGACCCGTGTTTCATTCCCTCACACTTAAAATCACAGTTTTATGCAGTATTTTCCACTTTAATTGGACTTTAGTGCGGGGATTAGAATGGGACGAGAGCGGTTACGTGCTGTACTGTCCGTGCATGGGTAAGTCTGATCCCGAATCTTTTTATTTTGCGTTTTTGTGAGTGGTAATGAAACAGTTCTCTCCTAAATGTAACTGAACTCATTTGTATATAAAGCGCGTGCGTTTTTAAACGTGCATATGCTGCAGTGTGCATGTGGATTTGCGTTTTACACTTTATGGTGAGATCTTAAAATGAGTCATTGGACCAAGTTGAAGTTTTGCGTGAGTTTAGAAAAGTTATTTCTATAATAATATAACGCTTTAGGTGCATTATAACCTACTTATTATTAACAAATGTTTATAAAAAAGACTGTAAAGTTCTTGTAGTAGTGATCAGGTCAATTGAACACACGTTAAAGCTGCACCATGTAGTTTTTCAAGAGTTCTGCCACCTGCTTGTTTCCATGGAGATGTTTTTGCCTGTAATGTTTCACAGTCTTTTCTACTACTTCTTTATCTCAGGTAGAGCACGTAATGCTATCAGGCCAAGTGACGGGTCAGATCTGTGGAGAGGCGACCCTGTTCACTGTTAGAATGCTTTTTCTAAGAGATTTTGAGCAGTCAAACATCTGTAGTGAATAAATAGAAAAGATTAAAGCTGTACTGTAATTCTGTGAAACACAGAGTGCAAAGACATAATCTCTCCGTGGAGATGATCATATGGTGGTGAACCCTCAAGCAGAAAAGTCACATAAGACTGAAGTCACTAGATCAAGTTTGAACAGGTCAATAAGTGTTTTGCTCCTTGTTGTTTTGCGATGTGTCCTCGATTATAAAACCTACAAACACACGCAGAGTCACTAGGGGTGTGCAGATTATATCAAAATATCTATATATCCTGTTGTTTAATGTGATGACACAGTATCGATATTGTAGACGAATGTATTGATTATGCAACACATTTGACATATTTGTTGTAGAAGTTTTCAGCTTGTCCAAGAAAGGGTGGAAGTAAAAGGCTGGAGACCAACTGCACGTCTTGAGCAGGAGAAGTTTATTTTATTTATTTTATAATACTGGCCGGGGGGACTTGAAAAACTACATAGTGTGATTTCAAAAGTGAACATAGAATGATTTTTGAGTGTTCAAGCCCCTTGACTCTGCTTCCAAAGGAGGAGGGTTATAAAGCAAGTGTGGTGAGACTATGAAGGCCAGAAGACAGCAGTTGGACAGAAATATGCCACAATTTAGATAATGGTATGCCAATGGTATGCCAAGGGAAGATCATTTCGTAAATATGGCTTATTGTGAGTCAGTGTTAAACTGAGATGTACATGAAAGATAAATGACTTAAATTCTATTACAATATTCACTGTTTTGATGATTAAAATGTTTGAGTTTCATATGAACTTTGCACAAGAAGTGGTTTAACAAAGACTTTTAGTATCACAGCCATGATTTAGCCACTATTTTTTATTGAACTGCATTGAATTGATTTGAAATATATTGTGTCGAACTGAAAGTGGACTGTATCAAGATATCGTATTGTAGCCTGTGTATCAAGGTATGTATCGTATTGTCAACGGCGGCATCTTAATGATCCCCAGCCCTAAAAGTCCCATACACTGACATGAGCTGCCCAAGAAGATCACTTGTGTTGGCTGTTGTGTAGACCATTGATACAGACCTGTCAGTTACTAATCTGATGTGTGAAATAGTGTTACAAAGTGCTCTAGTTGAAATATGAATATACTTTCCAAAAAACATTACTTATTGGTGTCCCCAAAATAAAGCCCCCCATCAATGAATGATAAGTCAATAAAGAAATGATGATGATACAGATGTAGGGAGTATTATATGTTACATAAGTGTGAGTTGTTGTGCAGTTGTAGGGAGTATTATCTGTTTCAATAGAGAGTTGTTGTACAGTTGTAGGGACTATTACCTGTTACACAAGAGTGGACTGTTGTACAGTTGTAGGGAGTATTATCTGTTACATAAGGCTGAGTTGTTGTACAGTTGTAGGGAGTATTATCTGTTACATAAGGCTGAGTTCTTGTACAGTTGTAGGGAGTATTATCTGTTACATAAAGGTAAGTTGTGAGGCAGTTGTAGGGAGTATTATCTCTTACATAAGCGTGAGTTGTGGTACAGTTGTAGGGAGTATTATACCTGTAGTCCTATTATACTTGTCTCCATTCACGCAATATGATTTGTATCCGGATACAGGGTGTGTTAACTTAATGCTGTTTGAAAATATCACAGTACAAATCTCTGCATTGAATTGATGCTGCCAAGAAGTTTGTATATAGAATGTGATTTTCCACATTAAATGGTACTTTCTTTTCTATTCCCATGTGTGTTATATGTGTGTAATCCTCAGTGGTGCAGTAGGTGGTCCGTGTGTATATACTAGTCTATGTGCTCTTACACTTGTTACGTACCTGTTTAACACCGTCTCTGTGGTGTATTCTCCTCAGGTCGCTTTGGGAACCAGGCAGACCACTTCCTCGGCTCTCTGGCTTTTGCCAAAATGTTGAACCGAACTTTAGCTGTTCCTCCGTGGATCGTCTACCGCCACCACACGCCTCCCTACACCAACGTGAGTGTTTGAGCTGTTGTGAACAGTACACAGCTTCTGTTATAGCCAGTGAAGGTGAATATTTACTTTAAAACCTACTGAAACATAACATAGAGATGGAAAAGGGGTTGGCCATATTGATGATTTTTTTTTTAGATAATAATTTTTAATCCATCATGAATGTGGTAAAACTTGACTGAAATTGCCTGAAATGGCCCTGTGTGTCCCTGTAGGGTTCAGTATTATTATTTTTAATTATACAATTTGGAAATATTTCCACTTTCCTTTTAACATAAAAACAGTCTAATTTGTTCCTCCAAAGTCTTCTGTCTGCTCCAAACCAGACCATCTCTGCATTAAAGGCCCTGTACCTGATTATTTTTTTCCCCTATGCTTTTAAAAAAAATATATATATATAATTTTTTCCCATATGTTTGAGTAAAATGTGTCTTGCCCATTAAGGGTGTATTGTATAAGCAGCTCTTGAGGTAAAACTAAATCTCCTGTGTGCTGTCTGCATCTAATTATAATGTCTTTCATTGTCAGAGAATCAGGAAGTGTGCATTTGCATGCAAGTTGTTGTTAGCGTTACCATCTGAGTTGTGAAAAGTGCTTATATGGTGAATTATTATCATGGTGAATAATTAAGATGCTTAAAAGGGGGTCATAACTTTGGACCACTGCAAACTTTTTAAAATGAACCGTTTCTGTTTTTCACATTTTTTAGACTGGAAAAATCTGATACAGCAACTTGAAAAGATCAGTCTTAAAATATGATTAATCGCACAGCTTTAACTGAAAGTTTTATTGTGGTACTTTTCAGGTGCATGTTCCTTACAGTGAGTTCTTTCGTCTGGAGGCTCTGTCGGAGTATCACCGCGTCGTCAGTTTGGAGGAGTTTATGCAGAAACTGGCCCCAAAACATTGGCCCCAGGGAAAAAGAAAGGCCTACTGCTACGAGACCGCAGCCCAAAGGAGCAAAGACAAGAAAACCTGCCCCATGAAGGTGTCCGATGCCCTCCCATATTTCTGGGAGTACACATTGAATGCCTCCAAACTCATTTTCACATGTTTTCTTTGTTCCAGGATGGGAATCCTTTCGGTCCGTTCTGGGATCACGTGGGGGTGGAGTTTGATGAATCGGTTTTGTTCGGAGGCATTTCCTTCAGCTCCTATCATCAGCAGCAGTGGATCCACAAGTACGAACCACTTCATTTTTGTATTTCAAACCTTGTATTCCCTCTGGACATTCTGGGCATGTGGGTAATGTCACGCTGTAGTTTTGGAGATTTTAATTCTCCAATAGTGATTCATGGATAAAATCAGGACTAAACCAGAACTGAATCAAGGTCTAGGGTTGGGTGATTTTGACAAAAATGAGTATGTTTAATCAGCACATTGTATTTTTCTTTTTTTTAATCCAGATTCCCTCCCTCCTCTCACCCGGTCCTGGCTCTCCCTGGTGCTCCCGCTCAGTTCCCAGTGTCCCAGGAGCATGTAGGACTGCAGAGATTTGTGGTGTGGTCCCAGAATATGGAGGAGGAGGGAGAGAGGACCATTGAAAAACATCTCAGCAGGCCTTATGTGGGAATCCACCTGAGGATAGGCTCAGACTGGGTAAGAATTGTTTTTGTTGCCTTGTTCAGGGTTTCCCCGGGGCATTAAAAGTATTAAAAGTCATTAAAAGTCATTAAATGGATTCTGTTAAATTAAGGCCTTAAAAAGCATTAATTTAACTTCAGGTATTAAAAAATATTGGCAGTTGTGCCAAAAAATATGTCTCATATTTTATATATAACATTTACTACAATACATTCAAAGAAGTTCATTTTGCTGTCGTACATGTAGCCTAAATGTAGCACGACCTGGAATGTTTACATTTATATGGCATATACTCCGAGCACCACCAGGTGTTTATTCCCACTGGCGGATTAGGGTTAGACAGAGCACCCCGAGCCAGATACGCAGAGCACACGAGGAAAGGTGGGAGACACATCCTAAAGTAGGTGACAGTGATTCAGTGGTGAGAGCGCGGTCCCCTGACCCAAAGATCGGAGGATCAGTTCCCATTCTGAAGCCTTGCCTTAGGTGTGTGTGCGTGAGTGAATGGTGGTGGCCGTTGGTGGTGCAGTCCATCAGTCTGTCCCAGGGCAGCTGTGACTACAGTCATAGGCGTACATGTAGAACACCCCCAGCTTGATGTCACTGCAGAGTATCAATATAGCGGTGTATTTAACATTGTCTCCTCTGTGTTTCCCTCCTGCAGCAGAATGCGTGTAAGCTCCTGGACAGTGGAGACACAGGACCACACTTCATGGCGTCACCTCAGTGTGTGGGTTATGACAGGCAGAGGGCGCTGCCGCTCACTGCCTCCATGTGTCTGCCTCCTCTGAGCGAGATCCGCCGTGCGCTCAAACTGTGGGTGAAGAAAAGCGGAGCACGGTCTATTTACATCGCCACAGACTCAGAGTCACACAGCCGCGACATAGAGAAGACCTTTAAAGGGAAGGTACGGCTCAAACATACGTGATCAATGCAAAAACTCAACTAGGACTGTTTAAAGATGCACTGTCACGTTTTGATAGTTTGTCTCCACGGAGATGTTTTTGCTTTGCCTGAAATAGGAATGAATACTGGTACTTGGCTTCTGATGCCATCAATATTCCCTGGGAATGTGAAGCTAACTGGAAGCACTGCTCTGTTAGAGTTTAATCTATGCTTTGTTTTAACTTAATCTGACAATAAAGAGCTGACTTAGTTGGAACTACAGCAGGTGAACTGATTTGTGCTGTTAAACATGTCTCTCTCATATAGCCAGTAGCCAAACATTCATTTGAAAAACACCTAAACAGGACCATGAACACTCGTACTGATACTGTCAAAATGTTTTCAGATTGTCTGAAAATGAAATAAAAATACAATATGGATTCAAAAAGCCTGTGATCAATAGGACAGTCATTCATAGTACTTTATTAGCAACATACTTTTACTCCTTCTTGAGTATTTTTTTTATTGAACAGTACTCTTACTTGAATAAAAGCTGTGGTTCCCACTGTGAGTGAGTCTAAAATGATAAAAACCTCTTCAGATATTATTTAGTTTGTCTAATTTGTGTCTGTCATTTTGAAAATGTCAGATTTTTTGCTTTAGTTAATGTTTAATCCTTCAAATGACATGAACTTCAAATTATAAAACAGATGTCACGTCCAGACAGTTACTCTTTAAGTTGCTCTTACTTGAGTTCTTGGATCACTACTTTGTACTTCTATTTGAGTAATATTATTTTGAAGTAATGTTTCTCTTACTTGAGTACAATTTCAGCTACTCTCCCCTGTCTCTTCTCAGGTGAAGGTAGTGTCTCTGCAGCCTGATTCGGCTCAGTTGGATTTGTACATTTTGGGTCGTGCGGATCATTTCATTGGGAATTGTGTCTCCTCCTTCACGGCATTCGTAAAGAGACACAGGGACGTCCACGGGCTTCCCTCCTCCTTCTTTGGAATGGACAAACCAGGAAAAGATGAGCTCTGAGCAAAAAGATAAACAAACAAAGGAGAACTGAAAGACATCAACTGAACTCTGCGGGGACCATGTGGAGAGAATTAAAGGAGCTGTACCTGATTTTAACGGTCTTACGTGTCAGAACTAGTTCATTGCAAACAGTCTGCAGTGGTCCAAAGTTATTCCTCACTTACCTTATGTATTCAGAGCAGGACCAGACCAGAACGAAGTTTTGCCATCACAGTAAAAAACAACAACAACCAGCAACCAGCATGTCAACACGCACTTCTTCAAAGTTACTGTAATGATCTTCTGCATAATTCTACTGTGTAAGCAGGTTGCACTGCTTGGCTCACCAGGCCCAAAAACAAACACTACAAAATGTTGCTACTGGAGTAGTTATTTTCATCAATAAAATGAAATTATATTTTTTACATTAATAGCTGTCTGTTTTTAATTGTTTTAAAAAGTGTAAATGTACTAGTTATAGCTTACCAGTACCTGCAATTATTGTGTCCTTGGGCAAGACACATCTTCTACTTTGCTTATGTTTGCTTTATGATTTTCCCTGTATCTCTGCTTGTTAGTTAAAACAAATATAGCTTAGTAGTAAAAGTATTACTACTAGTCAAAAAGTGGGATGCCCCGGTTTGTGGTTGGTAAAAGTAAAATTGTGAAACGAGTGCGTAATGAGGGAAAACTGTTCTGCACTCGGCCCGTTCACAACTAACATATGAGTCAGTATAGTCACATTTTCTGTGTTTTGGCCATTTTTAAGCAGCCTTTCTGTATTTCACATAAGCAGATGTCAATTTATGCCTCTCTTTACTGTTGGCAAGGATCAAACTGGTCAAAAATAGGGACACCTGTGACATTTTTTGTATAAAACTGGGACAAATCACTGGTTTTGGATAAATCTGTTGGGACGGGACACAGGGCTCAAAACTGGGACTGTCCCAGGTAAATAGGGATGTCTGCTAACCCTATTCCTTACATAAAACATAAGAAAATGCATTACTGTAGCAAAGTAAGTAGCAGCAACTTTACCACTGATTCCACCACTTAAAACTGTATTTGAAATGTCTAAAATATATCACAATCACAGTTTACTGGTATGTTAGATATATGAAAAGGATGAATAATTTTTTTTAAATAATTTTAACTCCTGATCTGAGCACAGACAATAAAGAAGTTTCCAAATGCCTACTGCAGGATCAGCTGATCAGTAATATGCGTTGTCGGTGGGTTGCCAGATTTTCACTCCACATTTTAATCCTTAAACTATTTACCATCAAATATATGCGCAAAACACATTGAGATGGAAGTAAATCTAGCTTCCACGTATTTTTTTCTAAACAGACTGTTAATGTAAAATATCTTAATAGCCCAACACGTATCAGTTATTTTAGCTTTTATCCTTTTCCATGTGAGGGATTTGTTTTGAGTATCTGGCATCCGCCGTGTTACCGTTGTGGATGATCGGCCAACGGCGGACCCGACTTTTGGATTAGCCTCACATTTTTTCACTTTTTAACAACTGAACGATGTAATTCACAATAAAAACCACGTTAACCATGTCTCTGCGGTGTTGAGTCATTCATGGCGCGTAAGTACCTTTTAACAAACCGTCAATTTCTTGTAAAAATGTGTAAAGTGTCCCTCCCGATCTGCTCCGTTAGCTGAAATGCTATCAGACTTGTAGCTAAGGTAACCGGTGTGTTTGCTGTTGCTAGGCCGATTTCGAGCTCTCTTCTCGAGCTGGAATTCGCAGTTGTAGCCGCTCTTTTATTGGAAGGAGGCAATGCTTATAGTTGATGTGAATATAGGGTAGTTAATAGTAGTTATACAGAATAGGTAAGGCTGTTGTCTTTGTGGTTGTCATGGTACAAACCAGCTGAGAGCTAAAAATAGTGTTACTAAGAAATGTTAAGCTGCTAACACAAGTTGTCAGTGCCTAATTAAACTGCAGGGGACATTACAGGCTTGTTTTTCCTTTGGCAGTGTGATAGTAAAATGTATCAAATTATTTTTCAATGAACTAACATGCCTACTTCTGTGTTTCTATCTCAGTGGGCTGGGGTCTTGTTTTCATTCATCTGTTGGGTGGTCTGAGTTTGCTTGTTCTGCCTGTGTCAGGGTGGCAGAGCTGAGAATAAAATGTTGAAGGTGACGCCGACTGACTGATGGCAGTAAAAAGACCAGGAATTAATACAATGAGAAATAGAAGCTTATGCCTTATGCTTATGAGAACATTCAAGGCAAAGCAAAAACATTTTCTTGAGACAGGTTCAGTCAAAGTCTGTTTTTTTATTGTTGCCTTATTTTTAATTCATGCCTTGTTCAAATGTATCGTAGCTTAATATCATTATTCTGTGTTTAATGTTGCACCATAACGCTGACGTATGGTCGTAGTTTGAGAATATTGTTCTCTGACAATGGAAGTAGAACAGATGGATTAAACACTGTCATGGTCTTAAGTGTTGATGAGTGTATTAAGCCAGCGTGAAGCAGAACAGAAGAACAGGAAAAGTAACATTTGTGCAGTGAAGGAGCAGCCCTCTCCAGGTTCTCAGGCGTCTTATATCATCCTTACAAAAGGGCTGTTGGCTGTTGTTGACAATAAACACTCTGTGCAGCAGTGAATCGACTAAAAAAGAGATAGAACTCATTTGTAGCTCTCAGAGCCTTTGGCACCTTTGTGGTCTGGGTGGACTGAGCCAGTCAGACTATCCCAATGAGTCATATAGTGACTCACATGGCTCTTTCTTACAAGTTTGCAATATATAGAGTTTGATTAAAATGACATTTTGAATTTTTGCCACAGAGTTCACCTTTACCATTTGCTTTCTGAAAAAACAGAATTTCCTAATATGAAATCATTTATTTTTACAAATCATTAATGAATGACGCTGCATTATTCATCTTCAAACAGCATCTCTGGCACAGTGGCTGAATGGCTAGCACTTTTGTCTCACAGAAAGATGGTCTGGGGTTCAATCTTTGGTTTGCCCAGGCCTTTCTGTAGAGTTTGCATGTTCTTCCTGTGTCTGCATGGGTTTCCTTTGTGCACTCCGGTTACCCCCATCAATCCAAAACATGCTCTACAGCTCAAATCCTTCAGCTAAGGTAGTCCTGACCAGCTCAAGCTCAAGCTCTGCCATGGGTGCCATTGAAAATGCAGAGGCCTGGGGGGTACAGTGAAGGCAAACCTTAATCTTAACTGAAAGTAAGCTGTGCATTGACTCAAAAAACTGCAGTTAACTCACTCCATATGTGCTCTTTTTGCTGTCTTTATAGACCTTAGAATTCTTACAATTAATCAAATTTAGTTGGCTGAATCGACTACAAGACTTAAGGCCTGTTGCGGGATAAAGCAGTGGATCTTTATCATATTCTATCAGTTCTAACTATTCTCTTCTTTCAGGTCTGATGTGGCCGTGTGTCTGCTGATTTGCTCGTTTGGAGACTTTGGATCTCGTCCAAAATGTCCAAAGCTCGGAGCGCGGAGACGGTGAAGGTTGTGGTGCGATGTCGACCAATGAACGAGAAGGAACGCGCCGCCAAATATGAGCGAGTCGTTTCTGTCGATGTCAAGTTAGGTCAAATCATCGTCAGAAACCCCCGGGATGTATCCAACAGCGACGTGCCCAAAGTATTCACCTTTGACTCTGTTTACGACTGGAACTCAAAGCAAATTGATCTATATGATGAGACGTTTAGACCATTAGTGGACTCTGTGCTGCTTGGTTTTAATGGGACTATTTTTGCATATGGGCAAACAGGGACTGGGAAAACGTACACTATGGAAGGAGTTAGAAATGACCCGGAGAGGAGGGGTGTCATCCCGAATTCATTTGAACACATTTTTACGCAAATTTCACGCACACAAAATCAACAATATCTAGTCCGAGCTTCATATCTGGAGATTTATCAGGAGGAAATCCGAGACCTGCTTTCGAAGGACCAATCGCGGCGTTTGGAGCTGAGGGAGAGGACGGACATTGGTGTTTACGTGAAAGATTTGTTGTCTTTCGTGACCAAAAGTGTCAAAGAGCTCGAGCGCGTCATGATTGTCGGAAACCAAAACCGATCGGTGGGAGCGACCAACATGAATGAACACAGCTCGAGGTCACACGCCATCTTCGTCATCACCGTGGAGTGCAGCGAGCTGGGCTTAGACGGGGAGAGCCACATCCGGATGGGGAAGCTTAACTTGGTGGATTTGGCGGGAAGTGAGAGGCAGACGAAGACGGGAGCACAGGGAGAGAGGCTAAAGGAGGCGACGAAGATCAACCTGTCACTGTCAGCTCTGGGGAACGTCATCTCTGCTCTGGTGGACGGACGCAGCAGCCACATCCCATACAGAGACTCCAAACTCACACGCCTGCTGCAGGTATCAACAAAGCACAACACACATTTCTTTAACTTCTTATACCATGTCAGCTTTTTGTTTCATAATGTAACAATGTACTGTGATAGACATTGCTGCTTCTAAAGTTCTGGAAGTCATCCTACTGCACATTTATAATGTACAATGACTGTAAAGTGAATTCTTGTTGTTTTCAGGACTCTTTGGGGGGAAACGCTCGCACTGTGATGGTGGCAAACATTGGCCCCGCCTCTTATAACGTGGAGGAGACACTAACAACGCTGCGCTATGCTAACCGAGCTAAAAACATCAAGAACAAACCACGCATCAACGAGGATCCTAAAGACGCTCGGCTGCGAGAGTTTCAGGAAGAGATCGCCCGACTCAAAGCCCAACTGCAGAGACGCTCAGGGAGGAAGAAGAAGAGGAGGGCCCAGCGGCGCGACCAGGGGTGGGTACAGAAATATACCATATATATTGGATGACACAAAACAATGCATCTAGAATCTTTTAGTTCAGTTCAAATTGGTAAAAAAAAAATCTGAATATTCAAAACGGTAATCTTATTGAAAAGTCAACATTCAGATTTACACTGTATTCTTTTGCCTCTTGAAAGTGTAAAGTCTAAAAAAAAAAAAAATCTCTGCCCTTATACTATTTGATTTGTTTTGACGATAGCCTATATATTTTAAAGTGCAAGCATATGGTAAATTCTCAACTGATTATAAATCTTCGACTTTGGCTCTATTAGGTGTTATTAAAGTAGATTTAAGTTGAGTTTATTTAGGCTACATTTACTGTCATTTTGCCTATTCACAGTCAATCTTAAAGACAGTAGGTAGGCTTAAGGCTTAATAATATTTTTGAATACTCAAGTAAGTAAGTGGGTGGTTTATTCCAATTTTAAATAAAATGTATTCCTCGATGATGTAAACGTTTATTCTTCTTAAAAATAATTCTGGTCATTCAGCACATGCTCATTGGGTTGCCCTTTTGACGCGATCTCAACTTAATTATCATCGAAACAACTGAGAAAAAGTTTGGATCATGTTTGTTTCCGTGGTGTAATGACAAACTGAGATGACAGAAAAGCCTTTAGCAGCTGAAGTGTGTGTTTTCTTCCGGTCGACGTAAATATGCTGGGGTCTCTGTCCAATCAGAACCCTTCCCCACCTCCAGACGCTGAGCGGAATTAAATAAAAACGATTTAACGAGTTTTCCATGTAAACTTCAATTCAGAATTATTATTTCCACGTAAACTCGAAGGAGAATATTTTAATTCCAAACGATTTAATTCAGACCAATTAATTGAGAATCAGAAAACATCATTTAAACATGGCCATTATTTCATAATTTACTGAAATGTAACTAATGTCTCCCCTTTTACAGCAGCGATGATGTGGACGGAGAGGAGGGTGAGACAGAGGAAGACGATGAAGAGGGAGACGAGAGGGGAGACTACTGGAGAGACCAGCAGGATAAACTGGAGAGAGAGAGGAGCGCCATCATGGAAGACCACAGCCTCGTGGCCGAAGAGAAGCAACGACTCCTGCAAGAGAAAGAACGCAAGATGGAGGATCTGAGAAGGGAGAGGGAGGCTGGAGAGATGCTCGCTGCTAAAGTGAAGGTGAGAGAGGGAGGAAGGAGGAAGGGGGAAAAGAGAGAAAAGTGAGAGGAAGGTCTGAGAGATGCTCACTGCTAAAGGGAAGGTGAGAGGGGGGAGGAGAGGCAGAGAGGGCCGGGGAGGCTAGGCTTAGGTTTTATTCAGCCTTTAACTAACCACTTTTTAGTGATAGTTTGTAATGTGTGAGCTATTGTGTCAAAGTCATTTCACATGTGGGTCAATAAAAGTTGTATAAATAATTTAATTAGCAACTTGTATGACTAGCTTTAACTCATCTCACATCTTGCTGATATCATTCTAACCTATGCGACTGCTATAATGTTTTGTGTTGTTCTTTTTGTATTTTAGGAGATGGAGAGCAAACTTCTGGTCGGCGGGAAGAACATTGTGGACCACACGAATGAACAACAGAAGATGCTTGAGCTGAAGAGGCAGGAGATCGCTGAGCAGGTAAAATATGTGGAGTTACCATATTTTCCACTATAGGGCACTCTGGATTATAAAGCACACTGTCATTAAATGGTCTATTTTCAAACTTTTTTCACATATAAACCTCACCGGCCTATAAGGCACTTTAAATGAAACCCAACAGTGTGATGGGTGAGTGGTTTTGTTTGTTTGTGGCGTTCACGGTGACTCTGGGCTTTGTTCAGCTGTGGCGTGTAGGGAGGGTGCTGTCTGGGACCAACGGATTATCGGCGTGTTCGCAGTGACTCAGTTGTTCAGTTGTGTCTAAAAGTGCACTCGCTTTTTTCGGTTCATTCATCCGTTCTGTTCCTCGTCCGTGTTGAGTGATGAGTGTGTCTGTGGGTGTTTTTCGCTGCACGTTCGCTGTCTGCTCTGTGTGTGTTTGCGTGTGCTGCGGGTGGTGTGGGTTTGTAGGTTACTGAAGTCGTGCAGGGACACCTGAGTGGATTCATGTATGGGGCGCTCTGGATTGTGGGGTGCGCAGTCATTTTTTGATGGGGTTGGAGGCTTTTAAGTGCGCCCTATAGTGCGGAAAATACGGTATATATAGAGTGTAGGGGTGGCCCATTTGTCAAACTAAACACTATTTGATTTAGTCATGATTCAGTTTATATATTTGAATCTGCCATTAGAATCGTGGAAAACAACAGCCTGATAAATGGCAGCAGAGATTGGAGACGCTATCCCAGACACGTGTACCTGGGTCATGGTGCAACATCACAGCAGCAGAAAGATCTAAGTGGGTTGCAGCTTTGAAATGAGATAAAACATAAACGCTGGTCTGAACATTGGCTGTCAGCTTATCCCTCGCCTCCTGCTCATGTTTGTGCGTTTGTGTTTTTAGAAACGTCGAGAGCGAGAGATTCAGCAGCAGATGGAGAGCAGAGACGAGGAGACGCTGGAGCTAAAGGAGACCTACAGCTCTCTACAACAGGAGGTGGACATCAAAACCAAGAAGCTCAAAAAGGTACCACTCTAAAACATGTGACTTTTTGCGGTGACATCACTCTGGGGCTGTTCTGCCAGTATCTCTATCTCTATGGTGGAATGTACAGCAATTGCCATGGTGACATAATTCACACATAAAATGGACTTAAACAGCACAACAAAGAGAGCGACAAAACGGATTTGTTTCATAGCACAGATTCCGACAAAGTCAGTTCTTTATGGTCCAATTGAGGTAAAACAAAACTCAGATTAAAGTCTAAATTGAATAACAGAGCTTCAGACAGAGCGGTGTCTATAGTTAACATCACACGCCCAGGAACTATTGACTTCAGCTGCAAATATAGACCAAGGAACTAAATAAGGTAACACTGTAAAAAAAAAAACAAGACCAACTCATGAGGGTAACACGGTAAAAACATGAATAAACAAACAGGTAACACTGGAAAACTATAAATTACCACAAAATAAAAATAGTTACAAAGTTAAAAGAATTAAATTTATGAGAAACCAAGAAACTCTAGAAAGTAACACCATGCATGAAACTGTAATGACCACAAAACTCAAATCTTTGTCAGTTGTCTGGAAAACACTAAAAAAAACAACAACCTCTAAATCCCAAGAAACAGCTTTGACCGTGGCACAGTTATCCATCTTTTCACTTCAGAAACTCTCCTGAGGTAGTGCTGCTAGAATTCCTTGGTCTATGTTCTATTTCTACACAGTTCCTCTCTTATGCCAGTCAGTCGTTCCCCTTGCTCCTCTCTCAGGTTTTCTCAGCTCATTTTCACTGTGTCCCTCCTTCCTTTCTGCCATGTAGCTGTTTGCAAAGCTTCAGGCAGTGAAGGAGGAGATCCATGACATCCACGAGCTCCACATCAGTGAGAGACAAGAACTGGAACAGACCCAGAACGAACTGACCCGAGACCTCAAGCTCAAGTAAGTCTGACTCACTCACAGCAGACTATTATCACTGTAACACCAGGGACCTTGATTTTTGTACATTATTCACTCTACCTGGGTGTTTATCTGTGCTGTCGGCCCCTACGACCACCAACATACATGCCACATTCATCTCTGGCAGGGTGGGGGAAGTGTCTTGCCTAAGGACAAAACAACTGTATGCACTGGTCTCAGCGGGAATTGAACCCAACACTTCAGTTTGTGGGTAGTTTGTTGCTGTCCTCATTGTTCCACCCTATTGATTCAGAAATATTTTGTGTTTTATATGGAGTTTTTATATGGAGTAAGAAAACGTCCAGAAATATTTGTGTGCATAGAATAGAAATCCTTGCATATTTGGGAAATCGGTGCATTTTTGTCTGTAGTTGAGCGTAAAATATTCGTAAACTTAAATAAGGCCAGTCATACATAAAATGTATTGTGTGTATTTTATCCTTTAGTCCTGGTTTAGTCCTGGTTTAGTCCTGGTTTAGTCCTGGTTTAGTCCTGGTTTAGTCCTCCCTGTTCAGTCCTCGTCTATTCCTCCCTGTTCAGTCCTGGTCTCAGTCCTGGTCTCAGTCTTGGTCTCAGTCTTGTATTTTTGATTGTGAAGTTGTATTTGTATTGAAGAAACCATAATCGTAAATTTTCATTTCATGATTGTAATTCTTGATGTCGTAACTTTTCAATTCCTATTCTGATGGATTAAATACACACAATGCATTTTATGTACGACTGGACTCATTCAAGAGTTTACAAATATTTATTTTATGCTCAACTACAGACAAAAATGCTCTGATTTTCCAAACATGCACGGATTTCTATCCTATGCCATAGTTTTGCATTTGGTTGGTTGCATGTTCTTGTTGTAGTGAACACCAGAAGTGTACAGATTAAGTGTATCTCTCATATTAAGCCACTTCTTGTGGGTTCTGTGTTTTTAGGCAGCTAATCATCGAGAACTTTATTCCTCTGGAGGAAAAGAACAAAATCGAGAATCGAGCATACTGCGACGAAGACGAGTACTGGAAGCTCCGCCCCATCACCCGCCTCGAAGAGTAAGTCCCAAACTCAAGCGCAGCAGACATTTAATGTTAATGACAAATGTTTTGGATTAACCCTGTGATTAACCCTGTGTGGTGCTGTGTGCAGTGACCAGCTCATGATGTCCCGCCCCCTCTCTGCCGTGGGCTACAAACGACCTCTGACCCGAAACTCGCGCATGGCCATGATGATGAAGCCCGACTTCAGATACAAAGTGAGTTCTGTTTTATGTGTTTATGTGTGCTCTGGAATAAGACATTTCGGTTCACAAATTTGGCCTCACATTCAGTATGCATTTCATATTCTTCTAACTGTGGCTCACTCATTAGCACCACATATGTGAATAATCAAACCAAACCAACAGAATAAGAATGTTAAATTATCGTTTTGGCTCAGGCTGATAACCTGCTGATCACCCAGAGAGTACCAGGAGCCTGTGTTTTTACTGTGTGTGTGTCTTTAGGCTAGTACCCTGCTCTTGAAGTCGGACCTGCCCTCTCGTAGCACCAGAGAGTACCATGTTTTTACTGTGTTTTTACTGTGTTTTTACTGTGTGTGTGTGTGTTTAGGCTGATAACCTGGTCATGTTGGAGTTGGACCTGCCCTCTCGGAGCACCAGAGAGTACCAGGAGCCTGTGATTGCTCCTAAAGTGGCGGCGGCTCTGGAGGACGCGCTGAAGGACGAGGAGGAGATCCAGGTGGATGCGTCTCACATCAGCAGCTTCAGCCCAGGACTGAGTCCGAGTCTGGGGCAGGAGAGGAGCAGCAGAGTTGGCAGTGCCAACAGCCTCAAGAAGAACAAGAACCCAGGGTATGTTTTTTACTGTCTTTAAATTTGAAAGGGTTTGCAGTGGTTCCTCCTCATTTACTTTATGCATTTTCAGAATCCTTATTAGTCTCCATAATGAGTTTATAAGCACACAATGACTTTTTGGATTTAAGAGGCCATTGTCGATGAACAAAAATTTACAAACTATTAAAGTGCTTAAGGTGTGACATAAAACAATGAATGGTAATACTAGTTTGTAGTAGTACAGTGCAAGAGTGGCGACTCCTGGGCCTTTCTCTGTGTGGAGTTTGCATGTTCTCCCTGTGTCTGGTGGGTTTCCTCTGGGCACTCTGTTTTCCCCCATTAACCTAAAAAGTGCACAACAGGTCAAATCCTCCAGCTAAGATAGTTCTGAGCAAGACTAGCTCAAAATCTGGAGATGGATCCCACTGCTCCTGACAGGTTTAACCCAGAGACACTGAAGGATGGATCAAATACACGTTTACTTAAGTAAAAATAGTCAAAAACCTTTGTTCAAATAAAATATAATATAAAAAACGTTTTAAGAATAAAAGACACTTTGACTAAATGTACTACAAATGTACAGTCTGAACAGAACAGTTTGACTCTAGAGCTTGTGATCAACAGTCTTCCATTATTATGCATGAATATTTGTAATTTCACACTTGTTGCTCTATCTCCAGAGCTGTCTCTGCTCCTGTGTCACATTGCCACTTCCTTTTCACTAAGTCGTTTTATATTTTCTGTCCCAGGCGTCCGAAAACTGGCAAGAAGTCGACCACTCCCACCTCTCCATACGGCCCCAGCCCAGGACCCCCGATTTACCCACAGTCCCGCGGGCTGGTGCCCAAATGACCCATGTCCTGTGACACTGCACTTTAACACTGAGCCACGCTGCTGTAAAAACCACTCCCACAAACACACGTGTCACATCACACAGAGACACCACTGCATGAAACACCATCAGTGTCATGTGTCGTCACTGCACAGAGGAGACTTCACATGAACCAGGACAGTGTACCTACTCTTCAAACATCACAAACACATGCAGTGACTTGAGAATGCACGGTCATTCACTAATTAATTACATTCACTAATTAATGCTTTGTTAAATCATCAATTAGTGAATGTTAGAAAGTAGTCTGAAAAGTCAAGAAGAAATACAAAAATGGATTTAAACATTTTGAGTAATGTTACTTGAGAGGGAATTGTCTAACTTGAGTAACAGAGCTTCAGACAGAGCAGTGCCTCTAGTTAGCATCACACCCCCAGAGAATGTTGATGATCAGTTGCAAAGTACAGTGGCTCTTTCAGACTCCTGGGAGATCTCTTCTTACATTATACACTGAAGTGTCCACAGTGAACTGTTGCACCAATCCAGCAACAATGACCATTAGTTTGGACTCCTGAAATTCAAAATCAAATCATTTGATTTTATCAGCAGAACTGATGAATATCTGTCAGTGTGAGCCCTCTTGATTAAATGATATTCACATTTAGAAAGGGTAGTATTCATAAGGCCATGAAACTGCCTCTCTACTCCATCTCTGTTGATCTGGGCTTTGTTGAGCTGGGGTTTTTTAAGATAAACTTGGAGCTTCTCTTGTGAATGTTTCATCAGATGCCTTAATCTGTCTGCTCCATCAGTGTAGCATGGCTTCCTTTGCAAAACCTGGTAACATGACCCTGCTGTAAGAAAAGCATTTGATCATAATGGACTAGAATAGGTTGTGTTCATGTGACGTCACACTTTTTTTTACACTGTCTGGAGTTGAACTGGAGCTGAGACAGGTCACAGTCTCAGGTGCAGAGTTGTTGACCTGGTTTATGGTTCACATCTCTGTAATCCCTGGTCTTATCCTCATTCAAGTGGTTTTTTGTTGTTGTTTTTTTTCACATTCTCCTCAGAAAGTGGTGCCATCGTTCAACCCCAAACACATGATAGTCTTTGGGGTTGAACTCCATCTGAAACTACGACATCATCAGATTGTAGACCATGAACTCAGCCTATTCGATAACCCGTGGTCGTTACTGAGAGAAGCTTTACCAAAACAAACCCCCAAAATACACGAAATCAACCATTCCACGTGAATCTAATGCAGTTTTAACTCCCTCTGTATCACTGCCTCCCCCTGCTGCTCTGATTCAGTACTGACTCAGAAAGAAAGTATACCCTCCTCCTTTCCTCTTCCTCTTCCTCCTCACGGGAAAACTGTGACATGTTTAGTCAATGTATAAAGTGTAAATGACCTAAATGCACACTGTAAAACTGAAAATCTGCAGGAGTTAAAATGACTAGTACTTGTATATTTGCGTATATTTTACAACGTTAAGGTCAGTTGCTTCTAGAACCGATGTACAGATATATATATATTTTACTTATACTATTTATCAGACATTTATTTGAAGCAAGTTTAATAGAGCTCCACGTAGGTTCCCAAAAGTGCATTTCTCATTCATTTTTCTCTCAGACATTCTGGAAAAAAAAAAAATACAATAAATACAAGTTTGAAAGCTCAGGGCCTAATCAGCTCTGTGGTATTTCAGATCTTATTTCAAAATCTCTTTCTTTAACTTTATAAATCTGTATTTTATTAAAGCACTTTGCAGAATCCGGCGTTTTAAATGTGATTTTTGGACTCGCACGTAGCTCCACAATACCTTTACATTAGAATTTTGTGAAAAATGAATGGAAAATTAACTTGTGGAACCAAAGTGGACCTTGAACTACTTTTTACTATTACATACTTTACTTTTTAGTTGTTTTATTGGTTGTTAGTTGTTATTGAAACTATTGAGAAATTAAAAGAATCAAATTTTGTACATTCATAGTTTTGTAATAACTTGATTTTTTTTTAAAGATTGTTTTTATTTTATCTCCTGTAGAGCTTATTTTTGCAGTGTTCTCGGCGGTGCCTTCACAAACTTAATGTTGAAATGTCCATAGCAGCACCGTCACTTTGACACGTGTAAGAAAATACGGTCAGGTTCTGTATCGGATCTAACTTATATCCACACATTTTATATACAAATGTAGTTATATCATTTTCTATTCGTCTTGTGTTATATTTTGAGATTTGTAATTTAAGGTGTACATTTGAGTTTCGGCATTTTGACTGAAAGTTGCCGGTTTATTTTAGGTGAAAATATTTCGCATGAGCGTTTGTCATGTAAAAGACGACTGCTGCCGGTTCGTCACGCGCCCACTGTAAAATCTGAAGCTGTATTCACGTCGCTAATGCTGATCACTGCGCCACACTAAAGAGCACGGAGAAAATGTCTGCACCGCTCACGGTCCAATGTTCACTTTGTGTTGCGCGTTACTCGTTTGGACTGGTTTTCATTGAGTCGTGTAACTTTTCTGGTGGCAGGTCCGTCAAATGTTTTTCTTGACAGAGATGATGTGACTTTTTCTGCAGTGTGGCATTGAATCTTTCTTTTTTTTTCTTCATGGGGACCAAACCAGACAGAGTTACAGGTCAGATCCTTGGAGAGGCGATCCCGCTCAAAGTTAAAATACCTGTTTTTCTAAGTATTTTTGAGCTATAAAACCACCTGTAATTGAATACCGTATTTTCCGGGCTAGTAGGCACGCTCATAAGTATGGAAGCCAAGGGGGGTCACAACAAACGCAAACGCCGCAACAAATACAAATACAAATGCGACAACATGACAAAAAACCACAACGGAAGTGACCGCGGGACTCTATTTTAATGCAAATGCCGCAACACATTAAAAAGCCACAACACATCACAAAGCCACAACGGAAGCGACCGCGGGAATCTATTTTAATGCAAACGCCACAACAAATACAAATGCCAAAACACAAACGCAAAAGCCGCAACACATTAAAAAGCCACAACAGAAGTGACCACGGCACTCTATTTTCCGATAGACCGATCAAGCGGCAAGTTCCTTTAACTTTTCACATTGTAGTTCTTCTTCACTTGCTGCTTGATCGGTCTATCAGAAAAATAGAGTCCCGTGGTCACTTCCGTTGTGGCTTTGTTGATGTGTTCTGGCTTTTTAATGTGTTGCGGCATTTGCATTTGTGTTGTGGTGTTTGTATTTGTTGCAGCGTTTGCATTAAAATAGAGTCCCGTTCATTTCCATTGTGGCTTTTTTTTGTTTTTTTTGTTTGTTGTTTTCGTTGTGTTGTCATGTTGTCACATTTGTATTTGTTGCGGCGTTTGCNATTCAGCCTTTAACTAACCACTTTTTAGTGATAGTTTGTAATGTGTGAGCTATTGTGTCAAAGTCATTTCACATGTGGGTCAATAAAAGTTGTATAAATAATTTAATTAGCAACTTGTATGACTAGCTTTAACTCATCTCACATCTTGCTGATATCATTCTAACCTATGCGACTGCTATAATGTTTTGTGTTGTTCTTTTTGTATTTTAGGAGATGGAGAGCAAACTTCTGGTCGGCGGGAAGAACATTGTGGACCACACGAATGAACAACAGAAGATGCTTGAGCTGAAGAGGCAGGAGATCGCTGAGCAGGTAAAATATGTGGAGTTACCATATTTTCCACTATAGGGCACTCTGGATTATAAAGCACACTGTCATTAAATGGTCTATTTTCAAACTTTTTTCACATATAAACCTCACCGGCCTATAAGGCACTTTAAATGAAACCCAACAGTGTGATGGGTGAGTGGTTTTGTTTGTTTGTGGCGTTCACGGTGACTCTGGGCTTTGTTCAGCTGTGGCGTGTAGGGAGGGTGCTGTCTGGGACCAACGGATTATCGGCGTGTTCGCAGTGACTCAGTTGTTCAGTTGTGTCTAAAAGTGCACTCGCTTTTTCGGTTCATTCATCCGTTCTGTTCCTCGTCCGTGTTGAGTGATGAGTGTGTCTGTGGGTGTTTTTCGCTGCACGTTCGCTGTCTGCTCTGTGTGTGTTTGCGTGTGCTGCGGGTGGTGTGGGTTTGTAGGTTACTGAAGTCGTGCAGGGACACCTGAGTGGATTCATGTATGGGGCGCTCTGGATTGTGGGGTGCGCAGTCATTTTTTGATGGGGTTGGAGGCTTTTAAGTGCGCCCTATAGTGCGGAAAATACGGTATATAGAGTGTAGGGGTGGCCCATTTGTCAAACTAAACACTATTTGATTTAGTCATGATTCAGTTTATATATTTGAATCTGCCATTAGAATCGTGGAAAACAACAGCCTGATAAATGGCAGCAGAGATTGGAGACGCTATCCCAGACACGTGTACCTGGGTCATGGTGCAACATCACAGCAGCAGAAAGATCTAAGTGGGTTGCAGCTTTGAAATGAGATAAAACATAAACGCTGGTCTGAACATTGGCTGTCAGCTTATCCCTCGCCTCCTGCTCATGTTTGTGCGTTTGTGTTTTTAGAAACGTCGAGAGCGAGAGATTCAGCAGCAGATGGAGAGCAGAGACGAGGAGACGCTGGAGCTAAAGGAGACCTACAGCTCTCTACAACAGGAGGTGGACATCAAAACCAAGAAGCTCAAAAAGGTACCACTCTAAAACATGTGACTTTTTGCGGTGACATCACTCTGGGGCTGTTCTGCCAGTATCTCTATGGTGGAATGTACAGCAATTGCCATGGTGACATAATTCACACATAAAATGGACTTAAACAGCACAACAAAGAGAGCGACAAAACGGATTTGTTTCATAGCACAGATTCCGACAAAGTCAGTTCTTTATGGTCCAATTGAGGTAAAACAAAACTCAGATTAAAGTCTAAATTGAATAACAGAGCTTCAGACAGAGCGGTGTCTATAGTTAACATCACACGCCCAGGAACTATTGACTTCAGCTGCAAATATAGACCAAGGAACTAAATAAGGTAACACTGTAAAAAAAAAACAAGACCAACTCATGAGGGTAACACGGTAAAAACATGAATAAACAAACAGGTAACACTGGAAAACTATAAATTACCACAAAATAAAAATAGTTACAAAGTTAAAAGAATTAAATTTATGAGAAACCAAGAAACTCTAGAAAGTAACACCATGCATGAAACTGTAATGACCACAAAACTCAAATCTTTGTCAGTTGTCTGGAAAACACTAAAAAAAACAACAACCTCTAAATCCCAAGAAACAGCTTTGACCGTGGCACAGTTATCCATCTTTTCACTTCAGAAACTCTCCTGAGGTAGTGCTGCTAGAATTCCTTGGTCTATGTTCTATTTCTACACAGTTCCTCTCTTATGCCAGTCAGTCGTTCCCCTTGCTCCTCTCTCAGGTTTTCTCAGCTCATTTTCACTGTGTCCCTCCTTCCTTTCTGCCATGTAGCTGTTTGCAAAGCTTCAGGCAGTGAAGGAGGAGATCCATGACATCCACGAGCTCCACATCAGTGAGAGACAAGAACTGGAACAGACCCAGAACGAACTGACCCGAGACCTCAAGCTCAAGTAAGTCTGACTCACTCACAGCAGACTATTATCACTGTAACACCAGGGACCTTGATTTTGTACATTATTCACTCTACCTGGGTGTTTATCTGTGCTGTCGGCCCCTACGACCACCAACATACATGCCACATTCATCTGGCAGGGTGGGGGAAGTGTCTTGCCTAAGGACAAAACAACTGTATGCACTGGTCTCAGCGGGAATTGAACCCAACACTTCAGTTTGTGGGTAGTTTGTTGCTGTCCTCATTGTTCCACCCTATTGATTCAGAAATATTTTGTGTTTTATATGGAGTTTTTATATGGAGTAAGAAAACGTCCAGAAATATTTGTGTGCATAGAATAGAAATCCTTGCATATTTGGGAAATCGGTGCATTTTTGTCTGTAGTTGAGCGTAAAATATTCGTAAACTTAAATAAGGCCAGTCATACATAAAATGTATTGTGTGTATTTTATCCTTTAGTCCTGGTTTAGTCCTGGTTTAGTCCTGGTTTAGTCCTGGTTTAGTCCTGGTTTAGTCCTGGTTTAGTCTTGGTTTAGTCCTCCCTGTTCAGTCCTCGTCTATTCCTCCCTGTTCAGTCCTGGTCTCAGTCCTGGTCTCAGTCTTGGTCTCAGTCTTGTATTTTTGATTGTGAAGTTGTATTTGTATTGAAGAAACCATAATCGTAAATTTTCATTTCATGATTGTAATTCTTGATGTCGTAACTTTTCAATTCCTATTCTGATGGATTAAATACACACAATGCATTTTATGTACGACTGGACTCATTCAAGAGTTTACAAATATTTATTTTATGCTCAACTACAGACAAAAATGCTCTGATTTTCCAAACATGCACGGATTTCTATCCTATGCCATAGTTTTGCATTTGGTTGGTTGCATGTTCTTGTTGTAGTGAACACCAGAAGTGTACAGATTAAGTGTATCTCTCATATTAAGCCACTTCTTGTGGGTTCTGTGTTTTTAGGCAGCTAATCATCGAGAACTTTATTCCTCTGGAGGAAAAGAACAAAATCGAGAATCGAGCATACTGCGACGAAGACGAGTACTGGAAGCTCCGCCCCATCACCCGCCTCGAAGAGTAAGTCCCAAACTCAAGCGCAGCAGACATTTAATGTTAATGACAAATGTTTTGGATTAACCCTGTGATTAACCCTGTGTGGTGCTGTGTGCAGTGACCAGCTCATGATGTCCCGCCCCCTCTCTGCCGTGGGCTACAAACGACCTCTGACCCGAAACTCGCGCATGGCCATGATGATGAAGCCCGACTTCAGATACAAAGTGAGTTCTGTTTTATGTGTTTATGTGTGCTCTGGAATAAGACATTTCGGTTCACAAATTTGGCCTCACATTCAGTATGCATTTCATATTCTTCTAACTGTGGCTCACTCATTAGCACCACATATGTGAATAATCAAACCAAACCAACAGAATAAGAATGTTAAATTATCGTTTTGGCTCAGGCTGATAACCTGCTGATCACCCAGAGAGTACCAGGAGCCTGTGTTTTTACTGTGTGTGTCTTTAGGCTAGTACCCTGCTCTTGAAGTCGGACCTGCCCTCTCGTAGCACCAGAGAGTACCATGTTTTTACTGTGTTTTTACTGTGTTTTTACTGTGTGTGTGTGTGTTTAGGCTGATAACCTGGTCATGTTGGAGTTGGACCTGCCCTCTCGGAGCACCAGAGAGTACCAGGAGCCTGTGATTGCTCCTAAAGTGGCGGCGGCTCTGGAGGACGCGCTGAAGGACGAGGAGGAGATCCAGGTGGATGCGTCTCACATCAGCAGCTTCAGCCCAGGACTGAGTCCGAGTCTGGGGCAGGAGAGGAGCAGCAGAGTTGGCAGTGCCAACAGCCTCAAGAAGAACAAGAACCCAGGGTATGTTTTTTACTGTCTTTAAATTTGAAAGGGTTTGCAGTGGTTCCTCCTCATTTACTTTATGCATTTTCAGAATCCTTATTAGTCTCCATAATGAGTTTATAAGCACACAATGACTTTTTGGATTTAAGAGGCCATTGTCGATGAACAAAAATTTACAAACTATTAAAGTGCTTAAGGTGTGACATAAAACAATGAATGGTAATACTAGTTTGTAGTAGTACAGTGCAAGAGTGGCGACTCCTGGGCCTTTCTGTGTGGAGTTTGCATGTTCTCCCTGTGTCTGGTGGGTTTCCTCTGGGCACTCTGTTTTCCCCCATTAACCTAAAAAGTGCACAACAGGTCAAATCCTCCAGCTAAGATAGTTCTGAGCAAGACTAGCTCAAAATCTGGAGATGGATCCCACTGCTCCTGACAGGTTTAACCCAGAGACACTGAAGGATGGATCAAATACACGTTTACTTAAGTAAAAATAGTCAAAAACCTTTGTTCAAATAAAATATAATATAAAAAACGTTTTAAGAATAAAAGACACTTTGACTAAATGTACTACAAATGTACAGTCTGAACAGAACAGTTTGACTCTAGAGCTTGTGATCAACAGTCTTCCATTATTATGCATGAATATTTGTAATTTCACACTTGTTGCTCTATCTCCAGAGCTGTCTCTGCTCCTGTGTCACATTGCCACTTCCTTTTCACTAAGTCGTTTTATATTTTCTGTCCCAGGCGTCCGAAAACTGGCAAGAAGTCGACCACTCCCACCTCTCCATACGGCCCCAGCCCAGGACCCCCGATTTACCCACAGTCCCGCGGGCTGGTGCCCAAATGACCCATGTCCTGTGACACTGCACTTTAACACTGAGCCACGCTGCTGTAAAAACCACTCCCACAAACACACGTGTCACATCACACAGAGACACCACTGCATGAAACACCATCAGTGTCATGTGTCGTCACTGCACAGAGGAGACTTCACATGAACCAGGACAGTGTACCTACTCTTCAAACATCACAAACACATGCAGTGACTTGAGAATGCACGGTCATTCACTAATTAATTACATTCACTAATTAATGCTTTGTTAAATCATCAATTAGTGAATGTTAGAAAGTAGTCTGAAAAGTCAAGAAGAAATACAAAAATGGATTTAAACATTTTGAGTAATGTTACTTGAGAGGGAATTGTCTAACTTGAGTAACAGAGCTTCAGACAGAGCAGTGCCTCTAGTTAGCATCACACCCCCAGAGAATGTTGATGATCAGTTGCAAAGTACAGTGGCTCTTTCAGACTCCTGGGAGATCTCTTCTTACATTATACACTGAAGTGTCCACAGTGAACTGTTGCACCAATCCAGCAACAATGACCATTAGTTTGGACTCCTGAAATTCAAAATCAAATCATTTGATTTTATCAGCAGAACTGATGAATATCTGTCAGTGTGAGCCCTCTTGATTAAATGATATTCACATTTAGAAAGGGTAGTATTCATAAGGCCATGAAACTGCCTCTCTACTCCATCTCTGTTGATCTGGGCTTTGTTGAGCTGGGGTTTTTTAAGATAAACTTGGAGCTTCTCTTGTGAATGTTTCATCAGATGCCTTAATCTGTCTGCTCCATCAGTGTAGCATGGCTTCCTTTGCAAAACCTGGTAACATGACCCTGCTGTAAGAAAAGCATTTGATCATAATGGACTAGAATAGGTTGTGTTCATGTGACGTCACACTTTTTTTTACACTGTCTGGAGTTGAACTGGAGCTGAGACAGGTCACAGTCTCAGGTGCAGAGTTGTTGACCTGGTTTATGGTTCACATCTCTGTAATCCCTGGTCTTATCCTCATTCAAGTGGTTTTTTGTTGTTGTTTTTTTTCACATTCTCCTCAGAAAGTGGTGCCATCGTTCAACCCCAAACACATGATAGTCTTTGGGGTTGAACTCCATCTGAAACTACGACATCATCAGATTGTAGACCATGAACTCAGCCTATTCGATAACCCGTGGTCGTTACTGAGAGAAGCTTTACCAAAACAAACCCCCAAAATACACGAAATCAACCATTCCACGTGAATCTAATGCAGTTTTAACTCCCTCTGTATCACTGCCTCCCCCTGCTGCTCTGATTCAGTACTGACTCAGAAAGAAAGTATACCCTCCTCCTTTCCTCTTCCTCTTCCTCCTCACGGGAAAACTGTGACATGTTTAGTCAATGTATAAAGTGTAAATGACCTAAATGCACACTGTAAAACTGAAAATCTGCAGGAGTTAAAATGACTAGTACTTGTATATTTGCGTATATTTTACAACGTTAAGGTCAGTTGCTTCTAGAACCGATGTACAGATATATATATATTTACTTATACTATTTATCAGACATTTATTTGAAGCAAGTTTAATAGAGCTCCACGTAGGTTCCCAAAAGTGCATTTCTCATTCATTTTTCTCTCAGACATTCTGGAAAAAAAAAATACAATAAATACAAGTTTGAAAGCTCAGGGCCTAATCAGCTCTGTGGTATTTCAGATCTTATTTCAAATCTCTTTCTTTAACTTTATAAATCTGTATTTTATTAAAGCACTTTGCAGAATCCGGCGTTTTAAATGTGATTTTTGGACTCGCACGTAGCTCCACAATACCTTTACATTAGAATTTTGTGAAAAATGAATGGAAAATTAACTTGTGGAACCAAAGTGGACCTTGAACTACTTTTTACTATTACATACTTTACTTTTTAGTTGTTTTATTGGTTGTTAGTTGTTATTGAAACTATTGAGAAAATTAAAAGAATCAAATTTTGTACATTCATAGTTTTGTAATAACTTGATTTTTTTTTAAAGATTGTTTTTATTTTATCTCCTGTAGAGCTTATTTTTGCAGTGTTCTCGGCGGTGCCTTCACAAACTTAATGTTGAAATGTCCATAGCAGCACCGTCACTTTGACACGTGTAAGAAAATACGGTCAGGTTCTGTATCGGATCTAACTTATATCCACACATTTTATATACAAATGTAGTTATATCATTTTCTATTCGTCTTGTGTTATATTTTGAGATTTGTAATTTAAGGTGTACATTTGAGTTTCGGCATTTTGACTGAAAGTTGCCGGTTTATTTTAGGTGAAAATATTTCGCATGAGCGTTTGTCATGTAAAAGACGACTGCTGCCGGTTCGTCACGCGCCCACTGTAAAATCTGAAGCTGTATTCACGTCGCTAATGCTGATCACTGCGCCACACTAAAGAGCACGGAGAAAATGTCTGCACCGCTCACGGTCCAATGTTCACTTTGTGTTGCGCGTTACTCGTTTGGACTGGTTTTCATTGAGTCGTGTAACTTTTCTGGTGGCAGGTCCGTCAAATGTTTTTCTTGACAGAGATGATGTGACTTTTTCTGCAGTGTGGCATTGAATCTTTCTTTTTTTTTCTTCATGGGGACCAAACCAGACAGAGTTACAGGTCAGATCCTTGGAGAGGCGATCCCGCTCAAAGTTAAAATACCTGTTTTTCTAAGTATTTTTGAGCTATAAAACCACCTGTAATTGAATACCGTATTTTCCGGGCTAGTAGGCACGCTCATAAGTATGGAAGCCAAGGGGGGTCACAACAAACGCAAACGCCGCAACAAATACAAATACAAATGCGACAACATGACAAAAAACCACAACGGAAGTGACCGCGGGACTCTATTTTAATGCAAATGCCGCAACACATTAAAAAGCCACAACACATCACAAAGCCACAACGGAAGCGACCGCGGGAATCTATTTTAATGCAAACGCCACAACAAATACAAATGCCAAAACACAAACGCAAAAGCCGCAACACATTAAAAAGCCACAACAGAAGTGACCACGGCACTCTATTTTCCGATAGACCGATCAAGCGGCAAGTTCCTTTACTTTTCACATTGTAGTTCTTCTTCACTTGCTGCTTGATCGGTCTATCAGAAAATAGAGTCCCGTGGTCACTTCCGTTGTGGCTTTGTGATGTGTTCTGGCTTTTTAATGTGTTGCGGCATTTGCATTTGTGTTGTGGTGTTTGTATTTGTTGCAGCGTTTGCATTAAAATAGAGTCCCACGTTCATTTCCATTGTGGCTTTTTTTGTTTGTTGTGGCTTTTCGTTGTGTTGTCACATTTGTATTTGTTGCGGCGTTTGCATTTGTTGTGACCCCTCTCGGCTTCTGTACAAAAGCCTCCAACCCCATCAAAAAACAACTGCGCGCCCCACAGTCCAGAGCGCCCTATACACGAATCCACTCGGGTGTCCCAGCATGACTTCAGTAAACTACAAAGCCGCAGCACCCGCAGAACATGCAAACACACACAGACAGTGACCGCACAGCGAAACACACCCACACGCACATCACTCCACGCTGATGAGGAACTGAACGGAGGAACGAAACGAAAAAGCGAGTGCAATGTGCCACTTCTAGACACGACTGAACAACTGGTTCACTGCGAACATGCCGACAATCCAGCAGCCTCAGACAGCACCCTCCCTACACGAAAGTTTTAAAATGTAAAAAATGACCGATAACGATGGACAAAACTGAAATGCCGTTTACCGAGATTAGAATTTCTGTCGAGATGAATGGAGAACTGTGCTTAAAGAGGGGGGATTTTTGAGCTTTCTCTCATGTTTTAACGTTCCATCGTCTAAAAAAACTGTCTGAAGGGATTTTAGAGACATCCACGCGTGTCTGAGTAATCTAGCGATCTCTCTGTACGAAATGTCTCTATATATACGACAGTAAACACGAAAACTCTCCATGAATAATACAAAAACGTGACAGAAAACCACAGTAGTTTCGTTAGAGGGACGCACGGTGATTGCGTTGTGATCGCGCTCTGAAGGGGGAGCGACTTAGCAGCAAAACCGAAACTTATAAAACATGTTAATCTGTTGTTGCGGGTGATTACAGCATTTACAAAACAATAAAAAGAGCTAAAAATGTGAGGAACGGAACGGAGGAACGAACCAAAAAAGCCACAAGTGCGACGTGCCACTTCTAGACACAACTGAACAACTGAGTCACTGCGAACACGCCAACAATCCAGTGATCCCAGACAGCACCCTCCCTACACGCCACAACTGAACAAAGCCCAGAGTCACTGTTCATTTAAAACACTCGTTTCGTTTGCGGTTTATTTGTGAAAAAAGTTCGAAAATAGACCATTTAATGACAGTGCGTTTTATAATCCAGAGCGCCCTATAGTGTGGAAAATACGGTAAATGTAAAGTAGAGCTGTTTAATGTCACACTGTGGAACATTCCAGGCAATTCCAGAGCAATCACATCTCCACAAAAACAAGCAGGTGACGGACCCTCCACCAGAAAAGTTACACAATGCATATTTAACATAGATAATCAAATATTTTTTCTATTCATTGTGGCCATTTTTCCATCTTCAGTCGCATTATTTTGCGAATGAAAATGGGGAAAAAAATACATTAATAGACCAAAAAAAGAAAATGGCAAGCAAATTAAGAAAACAATTATTAGAAATTATTTATAATATTTGCCAAATTAACAAATAAATCAAATTATAATTGAAACATGTATTGAAAATATTTTAGAATTAGGGCAAATACATTTAAACCAAACTTCCATTTTTATTTCACGTGCCATTTTAAGTTGTTGGAACATAACATCTTGATGATAATAATAATCATAATATTGCCTAATTCACAAATAAATACAGTTACTGGAAAATGTAAAATATCTTGGAACTAGTCAAGTAATGCAGGGCAAACAATGAATAGAAAACTGCAGAAGTAAAAGAAAATACTGGACATTTTCAAGCTGTTGAAACTAAAATCTTGAGATAAGTGAACTCAAATCATTTCATTCAACACATGAAATATGTTTAGGGTGTGAGAACTCCTTGCTGCGAGTCGAGCATAAATCACTCACCCCATGTAGATGTTTTTGCAGTGTACCTGATGTGCTTTGGATGGAAATGTAAAAGTTTTAATTCAATCTGATGTTCAAATGTGCATTTCTGGGACACGACTCCAACATGAAACACCCTGTGACCAACTTCAACATGTACTTAACGCTGCGCACATGTTTAGTTTCTTTATAATTATTAAAGACAATTCTATGAAGACTAAAATGTGTCTGTGCTTCATTTTAATAATAAGAGCTTTGCAGTCTACACCTGGTTTTAGAGGCATATCACAGCCTTTAAGAGATTTGCTGTATTTAATATCCCTGTTTGTTACTATTTACAGGGTTCCAGAGAAAAGTCATAGAATTTTAGTATCTCTTTCACACAACTCCAGCGTTCTGTTAATTTCTCATGAGGCTATAATGGTTATTTCAGAACGTCTGCACCTTTTGTTTAAAAGAGATGACAATAAATGCACCAACAGTATTCTGAATGTTCAAAACTATAAACTCAAACCATAAGATGAGTGAAAAGGGTTAACATTTCATATTTAGTCCTAAAACTACGATCACTTCTACACATGTAGGTGTTGTAAAGTCATGGAAAAGTTGAAATTTTGTCAGGAAAGGTGGGACCAAGTCTTTGACCTCAAGTCCGAGTCAAGTCCCAAGTCAAAGACAGGAAAGTCCAAGTCACATCTGGAGTCACTGGTCCATAAGTCCAAGTCAAGTCCAAGTCGTCTGCTTTCAGCTTCAAGTCATTTCAAGTCTTTAAAGTATCAACTATAGCTTAGATTTTTGCAATTTATATGAATTTTAAACTAAACTGTACTTAAAAAAGTCATGGTATATGTATATATGAGTTATAGAAATGCAATTTGTTTTCTTATTAAATGTCTTGACAAAATCTAAGTGTGAATCATTACGGTCAAAACAGAAAGAATTCAGATTTAAAAGTGCATAACAGTTATTTTGTCATGTAGTTTGCACTGAAATGGAATGTAGTTCTCTCTATTTTACTGTGTAGTACTGTATGTAATATACAGTATATGTAGTAATGTAGTACATTTGAGGATACATATCACAGTACTTCAGTTCCATCCAAAGTACCAAACAGAAGTGGGAGGGACATGTTCCATATATATTTTTAAGAGAAGAATCAAGTCTTCTCAAGTCCAAGTCAAGTCCCAAGTCTTTCTTTGTCCATTTTCTCAAGTCAAGTCCCAAGTCGTGACTTGAGTTCAAGTCAGGACTTGAGACTTGCAAGTCCTCTGTGAAAGTAGGAACCCTGTATTTATTTATTTTTTCTTATTTATGTTTCTATTTTAATGCAAACTAGATGAATGTGCAGCTTTCTAGTCCAAAACAGTGAGTGAAACAGAATGAGAGTGTGTTGACTCTGACGGCCGCTGCAATTTACCTCAACAGGAGAGAAGTTTGTACATCAGGTTGTAGCACCAGTGCACATTTCCACCTCTCGTCCCTGGACAGGTTCATTGATTGATTCTATTTAACTGACCTTGTCTATCAACTGTTCTGGACCTGGAGCATGTATTGGGTTGATGGGGGAAACCGGAGCACCCAGACGAAACCCATCCAGACATGGGGAGAAACATGCAAACTCCACACAGAAAGGCCCGGGCAACCCGGGGATTGAACCTGGAACCTTTTTGCTGTGAGGCATGAGTGAGAGCCACTCAGCCACTGTGTCATCACCCAGGACTGCCCTGATCACAAACACACTTTGAGCTCTGTTGGTGATAGTAACTAACAAAATCTGGGAAAACTGAGAAAATGGCCTGGTTTTCTTCATGTAGATGTCACTGTGTACTTTCTTTTTCTTTTTATAAATTGGCTATTAATTTGTGTATTTTAATTTGTCAAAAAAGAAAAGAAAAAAAGATGTGATTATAGAGTTCTATTATGTTCAGCAGATCAGCAGTTTGAACCAGCTGCCTGTGAGTGACACTGATGTAATGACAGTAGAGTCCCGTCCCTCATGGAAAGCTCTGTCAGGTTGTGAAGACGCTGCTGCTGCTGCTGAATCCGTGTTTTTTATCACACGTCCAGTGTCGGGAACCACACCAAAAGTCGTCACCCACGTGTTTCCAAACGTCTTCCTGTAAACGTGAATAGAGCCAATTACACTGTTCTTATTGGTATTTGCGATGACCTCACACTGTGGATATCTCTATGTGTGTCTAGGATCCAAAGTTCAGCAGTTACCATGGTGACAGAATACACACATTAGCAAACACTGTCAAAAAGTTTTATTTGAAAACCAGGAGAAAGGTCTCGTCCGGGCTCTAAATCAGTGGAGGATCGCCGCCAGTTCCAGCCAAGTCATTTCTTTGTGGTCAGATTGTGTTGAACTAAAGATCAGATGAACAGATCAAGCAGTGCCTCCAGTTAGCATCACACTCCACGGGCATGTTGACGTCAGCTAGGGTGACCATATTTCCGTTTGTCAAAACCCGGACACCTTGGGGGGTGAGTTAGGACTAAACCAGGTCTAAACCAGGACTAATCTTGGATTTAAGAGAGAAAACGCCGAGCAGTTTGTCCGCAAAGCTCGATCGGGCAACTGCTGCGTTTACCTCTGTGAGGTGCGGAGCTGAGCTGAGCTTTCTCCTGTGGTCACCTCCAAGCCCGTCCTGACAGTGAGTCCTGTTTCAGTTCTGGTTTAGTCCTGGATTAGTCCTGTTTTAGTCCTAGTTCAGTCCTGGATTAGTCCTCCGCTTCAGTCCTGGAATCAGTCCTGGGTTAGTCCTGGTTTAGTCTTGGTTCAGTTCGAGATGTAGGCAGCGCAAAAGTTTGATATAATCTCGGGTTAACGGGCGGGTGTGGTCCTGTACTGGCAGGTGCGGTGTTGTACTGGGGGTCTCCAAAAATGGAGCAGTGCAGGACTCTGCGCTGTAGGCTCCATTATGGAATAAATGAAT